ACTACGCAGGCGGAGCACTTAGTCCCCAGGGCTCTCTCCCCCCTTGGGCGGAGCACTTAGTCCCCAGGGCTCTCCCCCCCTTGGGCGGAGCACTTAGTCCCCAGGGCTCTCCCCCTTGGGCGGAGCACTTAGTCCCCAGGGCTCTCCCCCTTGGGCGGAGCACTTAGGGTCCCCAGGGCTCTAGTCCCCCCCCTTCCCCCGGAGCACTTAGTCCCCAGGCTCTCCCCCCCCTTGGGCGGAGCACTTAGTCCCCAGGGCTCTCCCTTGGGCGGAGCACTTAGTCCCCAGGGCTCTCCCCCTTGGGCGGAGCACTTAGTCCCCAGGGCTCTCACCCCCTTGGGCGGAGCACTTAGTCCCCAGGGCTCTCACCCCCTTGGGCGGAGCACTTAGTCCCCAGGGCTCTCACCCCCTTGGGCGGAGCACTTAGTCCCCAGGGCTCTCACCCCCTTGGGCGGAGCACTTAGTCCCCAGGGCTCTCACCCCCTTGGGCGGAGCACTTAGTCCCCAGGGCTCTCCCCCCTTGGGCGGAGCACTTAGTCCCCAGGGCACTTAGTCCCAGGCTCTCCCCTTGGGCGGAGCACTTAGTCCCCAGGGCTCTTGGGCGGAGCACTTAGTCCCCAGGGCTCCCCCCTTGGGCGGAGCACTTAGTCCCCAGGGCTCTCCCCCCTTGGGCGGAGCACTTAGTCCCCAGGGCTCCCCCCTTGGGCAGGAGCACTTAGTCCCCAGGGCTCTCCCCTTGGGCGGAGCACTTAGTCCCCAGGGCTCTCACCCCCTTGGGCGGAGCACTTAGTCCCCAGGGCTCTCACCCCCTTGGGCGGAGCACTTAGTCCCCAGGGCTCTCACCCCCTTGGGCGGAGCACTTAGTCCCCAGGGCTCTCACCCCCTTGGGCGGAGCACTTAGTCCCCAGGGCTCTCACCCCCTTGGGCGGAGCACTTAGTCCCCAGGGCTCTCACCCCCTTGGGCGGAGCACTTAGTCCCCAGGGCTCTCACCCCCTTGGGCGGAGCACTTAGTCCCCAGGGCTCTCACCCCCTTGGGCGGAGCACTTAGTCCCCAGGGGGCCCCAGGGCTCCCCCCTTGGGCGGAGCACTTAGTCCCCAGGGCTCTCCCCCCTTGGGCGGAGCACTTAGTCCCCAGGGGCTCTCCCCCCCTTGGGCGGAGCACTTAGTCCCCAGGGCTCTCACCCCCTTGGGCGGAGCACTTAGTCCCCAGGGCTCTCACCCCCTTGGGCGGAGCACTTAGTCCCCAGGGCTCTCACCCCCTTGGGCGGAGCACTTAGTCCCCAGGGCTCTCACCCCCTTGGGCGGAGCACTTAGTCCCCAGGGCTCTCACCCCCTTGGGCGGAGCACTTAGTCCCCAGGGCTCTCACCCCCTTGGGCGGAGCACTTAGTCCCCAGGGGGGCGGAGCACTTAGTCCCCAGGGCTCTCCCCCCCTTGGGCGGAGCACTTAGTCCCCAGGGCTCTCCCCTTGGGCGGAGCACTTAGTCCCCCTTCACCCCTTGGGGAGCACTTAGTCCCCAGGGCTCTCCCCCCTTGGGCGGAGCACTTAGTCCCCAGGGCTCTCCCCCCTTGGGCGGAGCACTTAGTCCCCAGGGCTCTCCCCCCTTGGGCGGAGCACTTAGTCCCCAGGGCTCAAGAGAACAGCAATATAAATAAACTTACCTTGTGACTTACCTTTTTTTGACTGATGATTTTTGTTTTGTTGTTTTCTTTTGGATACTTGACTGTCTTGCGGTCTATTAACTACTTTTTTTTACAGTTTGGGTGTATTTTTGTTATACTTTTGTCTATTTAGTTTACTTTTTTGTTTTTTTGTAATGCTGAGGAATTTTACTTTGGGTAAGGTTTTGTTTGGACTACGAAATTGAACTCTCCTTACTGAATTGAGAGGCGTAATTTTTTTTTGGATTGTGATATTTTTCTTTGTCAGGACTGGAGAGGTTTTATTTATAACTAAATATAACATACAGTTGTCTTGGTGTATATACCAAACCAGAATTGTCAGAGAGACCAAAAAACTGACATCAAAATTATTGAAAAGAAAGATGCAACATAAAAAGAAATATGTCTTAATCGGTGACCCTCGAGACCTTATTAAAAATAATGATCGAGCGCCTACTTTTCCATAGTTTTAGAACCAGCAGATTATTATTATGGTCCTTGAATTGAAACAGTAGGTTATTATTTCTAATAATGATCTTCTGTTCCACCTCAACGACCTGTTCTTAAAATTTATCTAAAATAATAACCTGTTTAAAACAATGGAAAATTGCATGAATACTAGATCACCCGACCGTGTTCTGCAAAAAATGAACTTACCATAGGTTTGGTATATACTGAATAAATGACAGACACACAAATGAGTTGGCTGCATATCCTTGTTAAGGACCGTGGCAGTAGTTTTATTGTAATTTTGAAGACTTTTCTGGAAGGCAAATTGTTCTTCTTTTCTTTATGGTCAGGACGTACCTGTTAAAAAATGGAAAACATTATTTGCCACTGTACTAACGTGTTAAGAATAGCACTTCGAATTAACATTATTTTCTTGTTTGACTGGCTTCTCGTTACCTTCAGTTTTATTCACAGCTGTCTTGCCCCTCTGTCGACTATTATCATATGTCAGCCTGAACCCTCCAGGGAAGCATTGTAATTCTCTCCCGGTGCAAGCTGAGCACTCTACGCCAAAACTGCCAACAGTTGGTTTGTTGGTATAGTGTTTGCGCGGCATAAAAGCTTAATTTATCTTCAAATCGTACATTAATTAACAAGGTCGCAGTTAATCAAATATAAAAGCATATAGTCTGAGTCAGAGTAATAAAAAACTGTCCAACGTTTGAGGTTTATTTTATAAGTGTAGTCTACAGAAGTGAAGACTTCTCTAATCAAAGCGAAAAATTCTAACCACATAGACATCAACAAAATAGGCCTATTTGACCCTAATAATCGCAACTAGCGTTTATCTTGTTGACCACACGTAAACCTTTATTACATTTTTGTCCCTCCAGTTCAACATTCATCGAACCAACATATAAGCAAAGGGACCATGCATGTTCACAACTTCAACTGCGGTCAACAACAACACACCGAGGAAAGAATTATGACAGAAAATCCGTTATGTAAAGCCTAAAAGAATAATTTCTTTCTCCAGCAAAAATAACCAGTAAGAACCGTTAAAGCAATTCGGACGCTTATCACCGTTTTTTTAAATTGGCATTTTTTTTCAGAAAAAAAAGTAAATAAACGATAGCGTAACCAAAAGTTAAAGTTGAACTACGAACAAACCTCAGTGCTGTTTTCGAGGAGGCAAAAGAGAATCTTGACTTTCTTCCAGACCAGAGATCGCCTAGCTGAGTTTGGACTTCACTACACCGCAGGAAATGAAAGGTACGAAGGCTTCTGGTTTCTTGAACACAGTTAAATCAACTTGAAATTGGTTCCTCCATTTATACGGTCACTCGATTAAAATTCAAACCAGTGTGAGAAATGTTTTTGATAAATCTTTTCCTGAAACTGTATGTGAGAAAAGCACGCAACAATGGGCAATCAAAGCGTAAATTGGTCACATTCAAAGAGAAAAATTTGCCGACTCGCTCAATTTATACATAACGTAGCTCTTGGTTGAAAACGGTACTAGTGGATAATCATAGGACTTGACAATACTTTGAGAAAACAGAGAAAAGCACGCACTAAGTTCATCAATGAACAATTAACGCTCGAATTGGACGCATTCAGAAAAAAATGCAGACTTGATTAAAACTTGACAAATCGATGACAAAACAGGCTAGTGAATGAGTGGACTTTTAATTTTTACAATAGGCCTTTCGCCTCAAGATCAAAGAAACTGAAAACAATGCTAATGCGAAGTTTTGGAGGGATAACAAAGAGTATGATGGTATGTTTGAAAAAGGCCTATAGCCGTGTGAATTACCACAAGCTAGGCCCTGAATAAATTTAAAAGTACCGGGAAAGAAAAATACAAACTTTCCAAACTTCTCGGTAGGCAATAAAAGCGAAGAAAGTTGAGGAAAACTAGTGTTAAAGAATTGCTGGCAAAAGAACCATTTTGACTCCTAACATTTGATTGCTCCGTGACGTTCGTCATCACTATCAGTTTGACAAAACTAATGAATATGCAAAGCTGTAATAGCCTGTCTTGCACCCGCTCGTTACGACGTTAAAAGTGCGAAAAAGCGAGAATACAAACTTTAAAAACTTCTAGGTAGACAAAAATCATCATTCATTCGAACGCAATTTGGTCACGCGCGTTTGGACCTTCAAACACTCGTAATCTGATCACGCGTGTTTTTATCATCTTTAACGTGAAATTTGCGTAAAGCACAGCGATGGAGCAAAAGCGTCTTGACCTTCGATTGTTGCTGCTCGCATTCCGTAACCTTTGGTTATTACTAGTTCTAATAAAAAGCGTTTCTTTGACTTCATTAACATAACCCACTACATGCGAACACTGTACCACACAGATCTTGGCGACAACGCAACCGGCGTATAACATCAAACAGAGTATAGGTTTACTGTTGGCACAGAAATAAACAACATTTTCACCTGGAAATATGCTATAACCCAAGACGATTTCGTAATACAGCTCAATAAATACCTATTCTGTTCTCTCCAATATCGTAAATAGTGACACTAGAAAAATAAACTCTAACTCGGAAGTGTTAATGTTTTTACTAATAGAAGATAATTGTTCTTACAAGAAACATCTGCTAGGAAAAAAGGACCGAACATCTCCAATGAAAATTTGGTGTTTGCAGAGGACATATTTTTAACCCTAAAACACGTCATTGCACTGTAAATCACAACAATTTAGGTAAAAACAAGCTAACATGATCCTATTTCTTTGGTGATTAACCGGGCTGAGTGACCTTTCCCCTCTTCTGGTTTTCTCGTCTGATAGTTTCACCTTACAGTCATTACTCTTTGAAATCGTTGCCGAAGTGGGGGGGGGTTGGGGTTACAGCAAATTATAAAACCTAAATAATTTCACACTCTTTTCTTCTTCCAGTGAGTGCGATCCAAACCAGTTTGTCCTTTAGGCCTTCTGTTAAGCCATCGGTTTCTACCCGCTTTGCCTATAACTCGATTCTTGTGATCGATGTTGGAAACTCTCCCTAGAGAAGCCAGACATCCTAGAGGAACATCTTTCTCCTTCTTCGAAGGTAGCCGCAATCTTGCAAAGGTTTCGGTCTTGTGTACGAGCTGCGCGCACGTGCCGGCCGCCCTCACTATCTGTGCACCTTGCCCTGGTCGAAGCTCCACATTGTGTACCAGTGTACCAATGGGAAGATGCTGTAATGGATAAGCATCCCCTGGTCTGAGCCTGGCAATTGACTCTGGCTTGCCTCTTGATGCTGTCACTACATCTCCAACTTTCAACTCATGTGGGGCTAAGATAATCTTCATCTTGTCACTGCCATTCCCCGCAACTAAGGCAATCCGACCGGAACGGCATGGATCATAACCTATATGTAAAGACTTTATCTTTCACTGTCCTCGGTTCTTCACTCTTTTTAATCTCAGGAGCCCTTACAAAGTCCACAATGCGATACGTCTGTGAATGACCCCCTCCACGGTGACGGATGACGATTCGTCCAGTGTCATTTCGCCCTGACCGTCCACGATGCCTCCGAACGGTTCCATCCTTTAGAGAACTTGGAATAGGGATGTTTCCAATGCTGCGAGGTACCCTTACGAACGAGTAGTGTGTTCGACCTTCTGATATCGAGCTGGTTGAGAGGGCACGGAGATACGTGACTGCTAAAGGTAAAACGCTTTTCTCTGAGGCAGGTGCAACATGTTGAAAAACGCTCAGTCTGCTAAGGTTCACAGCAAAGCGATTCCACATGTTGGCCCTGATGGTGAGAAGTATCTGCTGTGGCTTGCAGTTCACATCAGCTGCTGCAAAACGGAGAAATGATGAACATTATTTCATTGAATTCTATCTGTTTTAAGCACAATACAGTGTCAGGAGAATGTGGTGGAAAATTCTCAGAAAGTCAGCTTAGATACCGTAGATGATAGATTCCCTCTCTTAAATAAATACCTGTTGTCTAATAAATGCCTCTCCTAAGATGCTAGGTAGGTAGGTAGGTAGGTAAGGCCTAGGCCAAATGTTGAACTTTTCATGAGACAAACCAAAATCTAATTTGGGTCGACCTATATTCAGTTAAGATTGTCTGTTGGGTCGGTCATTGAACTTAGGAAACGCTGAACCAATCAACTGAATCAGACCAAAAAGCAATTTTAATAAATTTTCTCCCAAGCGGGACTAAATATACATTATGAAACAAATTTTTAATTTATTACCGGTAGTTTAGTTCGCCGCATGTGAGGGTCGGCGTTTGTCCTGAAGACAATCTTCAGATGTTCTATCTGTCTGAAGCAGACGGATAGAATGTGTTGGACGATCCAACTCATTCAGAAGATCTTAAATGAGCCAGATGTCGAACTTTTCATGAACTTAACTAAGTTTGGTTCTTCTCATGAAAAGTTCAACATCTGGCATTAAGGGATGTCAGTTGCTGCATCTCCAGAGGCAAGCCGTTCCATAACACACTTCCATGAGCCATAAGTGGAGTTCGTGATACACCAATCACTAACAACCACAGTGGTACAAATACGTTGTACTCAGTAAATCCATACTATCACCTAATGAAGACCCGCAGTAAGTGGTTGAAACATCATGATCAGTATCGAAGTGACAACCATGAGGTAAACGATAAACAAAACCCTTTATACGTATAATGATATCCGGTCACCTTGCCACCAACAAAAAATCACCACCAAGATTTTTTAATCTTAATACTTATCAAAAGGACAAGTCTGAAAAAAGAATTCTTTCACTTTAAATTTACAATGAAATTTAAGGCAGTAAGGTTCAAATGACAATATTAACCAACTTACAAAAGAAAGACTGTTGGATTTTAAACAAATTGCACCTCTCAAGCTATGCAAATAAGACACATTAAGGTATTAAAAAGTCGTAATTATTCACAAAAATAAAACTAAAGATGAGAAGTTCGAAGCAAGGTGTCAATAAAATCGATAAACGTATTTTTGGGCTTGAGGAAGAAGAAACAACCCCAGGTACGTAAACAGCGTCAATAATTGTTGCAGAGTTATTATGTGGTGGCGAGTAGACTTCTTGGTAGCAATTTCGTTAGTGGCTAGATGACCGTAAACCCAGATAATACAGTACTCCTCTTGCACAAAGTGATGTAAATGTTGTGGTTGAATTTTATCCTTGATTTAAATTTTATTTCCTTTGTTTTGGGGTATGGTAATGTATGATAATGAGTTTGAAAAAAAGGAAAATAATTTATACCAAGGATAAAATTGAACCACAATATAATTTTTTATCCATGTAACTTTCTGGTTCACCTGCATGTGAACCTTCGATGTACGAGATTTGGATGCAGGTTTGATACAAATACAGATTTTATGGAGTACTGAACAGTTATAAGCTAATTAATTTTAACCAAAATCCCAAACTGCGCTACATCCAACAAACATGGCGCCACAAAACGTGAAAAGGTGCTGGTAACTGCATATCTATGCGGAAAAAATAGTGCCAAATGTCCAGGACGTTCCAGTTGTAGATTGGTGGGGATTAGTACATGAATATAGAACAGTATTGCCTTTGTGTTGTCGTTAGAAAGTATAAAAATGGACTCACCGCTTCAAGACACGTCTTCCGACCTTTTTCGATGGCGTCGGGTAAGTAGTTCTTACATGAGGTATCGATAGGGCCTTACTTGTAATCCGCTGACAGTACGAGCTGTCCATACGGAAATGCCCGTATGTGTTGGTGAGGTCGCCATCTTGGAGAATTTAGTAAAGTGGTGTTATTCAAAAACAAGGATCGTTTTTACGTTCTGGAAACGTCCTCTGTAGAAAAAAGTCCGAAGGTTAGTAGAGATCATAGTCGACTGTTTGCATACCTAATATAGTTAATGTCTTGATTTTCTAAGGTTGTGCATTGAAGCTAAGGTAACCTTAGCTTACATAACTTGCAAATTTGATCTTGATATTTGTATGTTTGTGGATCAGTCTGGATTGTTTTGGAATTTTGTAGGTTTTGCACAATGTGGAGGGTGACTTTGTCAAAGGCGGCTCGAGTTCAGTCCCTTAAGGGCTTAGCACCTTCTTTTCAAGTTGCAGGTGAGACTAACACATGCTGCTTAGCCATGAAATTAAAAGAAGCTGATCATGTTAGCTAATAAAATGAGCAGGGCCTTGATATTTTGCCGTCATGTTATCATTATGGATCTCCTTATTAGACTGACTGGGCTGTTAGAGTTTCATAATGTGCCTATCAGAAATAGAAGATTCGAAATGTCTACTATACCACACAAGGAATGAATCAACATGTGCACATATTAATTTGGGAAACCTGTCGTTTCATACCTTAGTCAATAGTAACCGGTCAAGTCGGCTGAAAGTCATCTTGACTAAGTGACTTTCAGGCAACCTGACCGTAAACCGAGTCAATTTGTACCCATACGGTTTGTACCCACATTAACAGAGTGAATACAACTCAATAATAAAAACACACTTCACATGAAGTATACCTTGTTCTTTAAGCCATGAGGGTAAAATAGTACACTATGAATTTAATATACTTCATTCTTTAAGCCACAAAACAGATGCCACACATGTGACACTGGGTATGAATCGACTGGGTATGAATTAATGACTTGTAAAGCATCGCTAATACCCACACATTGTAAATGCCTGGGTCCAATAAGTGTTATACAGGCATGTACTTTTACCAACTTATGAGTATTCTTCTTATTTTCAGCTCAACATTATGCGACTGCAGCTCCAGCACCAGAGAAGATTGAAGTGTTTGTCGATGACAAAAGCCTGTTGGTTGATCCAGGAATGACAGTGCTACAGGTCAGTAATACAGGGATGTTGAATAACAGCCAGCTTTTGGCTAATTTCACTGGCCAAAATAGAGCTTTCCACCGGCTCAAATTGTTCTGGAAAACTAAAATATGGGGAAATTTTGAAGATGCTATTGAGTAAATAAGCTTGACTTATGAAATATGGTTATGTTGTAGTTAATTTTTTATCCCAGTCAATTTTTATTTTTCCATTGTTTTGGGGTATGGTAATGTATGCTAATGAATTTTAAACAAAGGAAAAACAAAAATTAACTAGGATAAAAAATTAACTGCAACAGTTACATGTAGCTTTTCCTTCACTACACGATGTACATCCCTGGGCTTAAGTTTTCAGTGACTTGAAGAATCTGGGAATAGGAACAGAAAATGAAAAGTAAAGAAATAAGACAGACCTTTATTGATGATCAGGCAATGTGTTAAATCAGGTTTATTACAAAGAGAGTGTATAAACAGAATGATATTTTGATAACAAAATATTGTATAGCTTGACACAAACAGGGCTCAAAGTTAGCGACTAACTGGTCGCATATGCGACTGGATTTTTGGTTGTGCGCCAAAAAATTCATGTGTAATCGCACCTGTGCGCCTTAAAACCCAAAGCACAGTGCGACTGACTTACTTCCAACTATACTTACGAACTCGAACTAGAAAGATGGTGTATGTTTAATTGGTCTTTTCTCCCAATGGATTCTACGAACTTGAATATTCTTTTTCGTTTCGATGTTTTACTCCATCCCAGACTCTTCTGTTTTGTAATAAACACCGCTGATACATGCAAATATATGCTACGAACGAAACACGTACTTTTTGTGCAATGGACGATCATGTCGAACGTTCAGTTTTAACGTCAATCAAAACAAAAACAGTGCAGATTAAGAGCCTTTTTTTCCAGGTAAGAAAGTTTTTAAAGTCGTATTCCAGTTACATGTAAGACATTGTGCATTTGACAAATTCATTAAAGATTAATTTTCATTCTCGTTCGACACACTCATTGTTGTCAGTTTTGAATTGTTTTTCAAGTGTAAGTTTTCTTTAATCACAACTGTACTGTCAAAAAGAGAAAATAGTATTAAATATCACAATGGTATCACTGCGTAGCAAATCGGCTGTGTTTTATCAATCACAGGACTTAACTAAAAGTAACAAACTGAAGGTGACAAATAAACGTGGCACTGTTAAGCTTTTTACTTTTTCTTTTGAAATAGATGCTCCCAACATTATAAGCTGTGCTCCTAAAATTTTCAGCTGTGCACCTAAAATTTCGGCAGTGCGCCTAAAAATTTACGTCTGGTAGCACAAGTGCTCCCCAACTCAAATTTAAACTTTGAGCCCTGACAAAGGAGATAACTTACTGATAACTAATAACATCAGGGACCTTTAATTGTTAGGGAAGGGCTGGTGACTTCTGATTAACTGCAAATTATCCTTACAACTTAGACGTGCTTGCAAATCAAAGGGAGTGATTGACATAAGAGGAGGAGTCAGTTAGGGTGCTGAACAATACATGCACATGAATTCGAAGAATACACCCACAGCAGATGCTCTTTCAGGAAAAAAACTTGGTTTTTAGCCCATGTTGTTTCTCAGTCATTATCTTCTCTGATTTGTTGTTGTTTAGGCTTGTGCCATGGCTGGTGTTGAAATTCCAAGATTCTGTTATCATGACAGACTCTCTATTGCTGGAAACTGCCGCATGTGTCTTGTAGAAGTGGAGAGATCTCTCAAGGTTGGGCTCATATTCTTTTGTCATCGTCTGTTGCAATGATGATAGCAGAGCAATTCATTTGAATTTCAGTTAAATTTATCAATAATAATATTACCCGTATTCACTCATAGAAAGTCTTATTGACTTACATAATTAAAATATTGGATAGAGTTACAATGCATAGAGTCTTAACATGTATTTATTGCAAGCAATAAACATGAATTTCTACTTGCTAACAAAAAAAGAATAGTAATAGTTTACACACTAGGAAAATAGCAGATAAAAATTGTCCAAAAAACCGGTACTTATACTTGTGTACACATATCGGTAATGAACTATAAAATGACAAAGAAAAACTTTCCTCACATACATGTTTTTCAAAATTTGTTTACAGTAAACATGATTTTAATTTTAGATGTTATTTGGTGCCTTTGTTAGCCAGGTTTTTAGTAAACCTGAGAAAAATTTTGGGTTTTGAACACACATGGCCTCTGCATTAGCACTGCAGTGCTCTACCATTTGAGCTATGAACTGGATTTTCATTAAGAATTCTAGTAACAGGAAAAAGGTGTAAAATTACAGGAGAATATTTGAAAGAGGCTCCAAGTCTGAATAAATAATTGTCATAGGATACGGAACGTTAGTCAGAGAATTCTGCATAGTAAACGTAGAATTCTCCAATCTCCAATGCCTAATAAACCCATACATTGGGAGCAGGCCAATTTGTTGAGTTCATATTAACCCATAGAAGGAATGAAAGTATCAATACCCATACAGTATGAGTCTTCATAGCTAAAATGGTAGAGCACTGCAGCGCTAATGCAGAGGCCACGTGTTTGAATCCTGTGGAAGTCACAAAATTTTTTCAGGTTTACTTGCAATTGCTTAAATTGCAATTACCACTGCGACAATCATATCTTTATTTAAAATTTGTATTTCTGCAGTTCACATCGTCAGTTTTTCAGTCTGTCAAATTAACTTACTGTTTTCATTTCATTGCTGTAGCCTGTTGCATCTTGTGCAATGCCTGTTATGAAAGGGATGAAGATCAAAACAGACTCACCAATGACAAGAAAAGCTCGGTAATCCTACAGTGCTCAGTATTTATATTGTTCATGTAATCTCATGAGCTTCTACATGTATTATAGAAAAATAAGGGGTTTTTTAATATTCTTTTAACCCATTTGCCCCCATAAACACCTGTACGGATCCACGTCCCTTCTACTGCTTGTGGCATCATCAGTTTTAATGGTCAATGACAACCTTTTTCTGCTAACTTGTGCAGAATGAAGAGATCTTTCAAACCATAACAGAATGAGCATGATTTAGTCAAGGACACCAGGCAAAAAGGCAAAAAAACAATGTAACAATGACCTGAAAATTTCTAGGAAAATCTTGTTCCACTACCCACCTACCTTTCCTTTCATCTAATCCCGAAGATCCTAAAAGCTTTCCCAAAAATGATTCCTGCTAAATGCCAAGGAAAAGAAAAAAAATGAGGCAAGAAAAGCGAAAAAAGAGGGAAAGAGAGAAAGTGAAAAGTAATACCCAAGACTGCTGTGTCACTTTTAAACCCCAAAACTATCACAAAATTTTGCTTTCTGCACATGCCCAAACTTTGCAAGCCAATATTTTGCATCTGGATCAGAAGGTCGCAAAGTGTACAACCTGTAAATAGCTTTATGGTAGTTTTAGCTCTTTATAGCATAATAGTGACCAGAAAACTGCTTGACTAGCTTCAAAACGTATTTTTGGGCAAAATTTCTGGAGTGAATGGGTAAATCTTGTGCAACTCAAGGTCAAACATCAGGGGTGTGCTCTAAGAACAATAATCGACGGGGCCCAAATGCTCTTAACATACAGTTTGTATGATTTCCTGCTGCATATATCAAAATCCAATAGGGGCTGCTGGTGTATGGCCCTAAACTCTACACTGCTTTAGTAAGCTTCTATTTCTGAAGGTCTTCTTAGAATGGCCATTTTATGTTAATTAACAACTGCATCGCTAAAATGGAGTTTGGGTGCCTGGAGTATCCAGGGGCTTCCACTATTGGCAGCCAGCCCACAGATTTAAATAATGCCCCCATAACTGGCACAACGGCACAACCCAGCCATGAGCCCCCACATGAAAGGAAAGGAACAGGCACCCGTCACACTGAAAAACATCAGTGGAGAAAAAACTAACAAAGCCTAGGGGGAGGGGGGAAGGGGAAGAAAATGGCTGACAGAACCTAGCCCAAAGGAAAACTGAAACGTGCCAATGAATCACATGATCGATGTAGCAAGCTACTGGGCATGTGCATGCCAAAGACCGCTGACCTCAGGCACTTAGGGCACTCTTAGCTGTTAACTCCTTTAAATTGCATTTAAATGCATCTAGCAACTTAACTGAAGATTGAACTTGATCAGTTGTGTTGACTATAGCCAGTATGCTCCTTCCTTGCTGATCTGGCCAGAGTTTGGGTTTAAACGTGAAAAATCTGGCCCATGAGAAGGGCACTCTACCAACAGAGCTACATGTAAAGAGTGACATGTGTACTGTTACTGTAGCTCAGTTGGTTTGGTATGTGTAAAACTGGAACATCTTGGGCAGACAAATCAGTCTAACATTAACATTCTACATGGGTTTGTAGCTGCAGTTGGCTTTAGAGCGATGTAGAGACATGAGGATTCTAAAATATTTCTCCAATCCATGTTGTTTCCACCAGGGAGGGAGTGATGGAATTTCTGTTGGTAAATCATCCATTGGACTGCCCCATATGTGATCAGGGTGGAGAGTGTGACTTGCAGGACCAATCAATGGCATTTGGTAGTGACAGAAGCAGATTTGTAGACAACAGATTTTCAGGGAAAAGGTACCATAACACCATGAGTTACCACACTATACTCTATGTAAAAGCACTTACCTTCACAACTGATTATTGATGATTGTTTTTGTGCTTTCAAAGGGCTGTGGAAGATAAGAATGTTGGACCACTGGTAAAGACCATCATGACTCGCTGCATTCACTGCACAAGATGCATCAGGTTAGATTATTAAAGAGGGATTTGAGAACAAAATAATAACGTAATTTAACAATAAAAAAATGTATTTCTTATTTAAATTTAAATATAAAATTCTATTTTGGCTGCTATGTTTCATTCCTTTCATGGATTAAGATGAACTCAACTTGTTGGCCTGCCCACAATGTCTGGGTCTTCTTAGCTCAGCTGGTAGAGCACTGCAATGTTGATGCAGAGGCCATGGGTTTGAATCCCATCAAAGCCCCAAAATTTTGTGGGGGTTAATTTGCGTTTAATTGTCAAGGGTTTCAATAAGCACCGACGACCGACGGAACGCGTTGGCTACGTTGCTCAGAGAAGTTTACCTCTTTTTTCTCCGAAGAAGAAGCAACTAGTTTGAATAATGTTATGGACAAAAATATAATTTGTTCATGCGGAAATGTGTGTTACTTAGTATAATTATCATTAATTTGTTCATTGCTTGCAAGAGTTAATTGTGTGGCTAATAAATCAAAATTTGACTAAAACCCAAATCTTCTTGAATGGAAAACTCGCTCTTTTGTACTCAGTTTAGTCCCCTAAACTCTGTAAATCGCTTTTTAGGGCTTTGCAATTTTAAAATTTTCTGGGGAAGCATGACCCCAGACACCCCTTGAAAATGTGGACTGTTGATACAGTCGGTTACTCTATTGAAAACTGCTGCCTACTTCAATTTTTATTGAAACCCCTGAATTGCTATTACAACTTGCTATTACAAAGTAACGTATTATGTTCTAAACCTGAGGGTGGTTTTCCACTGTCACGTAATTTTTACTTGTCTCCGCACCTTAAATTTCTGTGCGTAAATAAAACAGGCAATGTGTGAAGGGGGTAAAAGTTGAGCAAGGTTCAACTTTTACGTTTACACATGACTTTCCATACTTTGCCTCTTTTTTATTTACTCATTTATAATTTACATGTAGATGCGTATGCACATGAAAATAAGGTGACAGTGGAAATCGACCTTTTGGCAAATAAATTGTAATGATGTCTTGAACTAATCAGCAGCCTTAAATCTCTGTAACTATGGTACATGTACATGACCTTGAACATTTCATTACTAACGCTGTTAGGTTTGCCAGTGAGATAGCTGGTGTAGATGATCTGGGTACAACTGGTAGAGGAAATGACATGCAAGTGGGGACATATGTGGAGAAAATGTTTAAATCAGAACTGTCTGGAAATGTTGTTGGTATGTAAACATATTGAGTGGTATTCGGGCTAATGGACAATTTTAAAAGCCCATCAACCAGTTGCATACATGTATAACCTAACATCAGATGTAACTAGTACAGTAGAACCTCAATATAACAAACCGCTATATAACGAAATCCTCGGTATAACGAGCGATTTTCTTTAACCCATTGATAGTAAAGTATGTGTAAAAGGACCTCGTTATAGCAAGCACATTTTTCCAGTCCCTTGGCCCCTCATTATATCAAGGTTCCACTGTAACATCTTGGATTAAAATAGTAATTTAATGGGCTGAACACCAGGCATTAATGCATGTAGTTACTGACCATTCTAGGTAACAATATTATCCATTCTTAGATTAAACCAAAAATAATTTCTTTTTTTTTATGTTGATATTAATTTTTATATTAGGGCTATGAAACAAGGAAATTCTGCATCAAACTATGTTGAATACTGATGTAACGTGAGAACAGACTGATTTTACCTGCGACAGTTATGTCCAATGTGAAGATTAATTTAATATAAATGTACAACTGTCCCCAGAGCTGTTGGAGGTTATTTTTGTTAAAGTGCTTATGAGTTGTATTTTCTGTCCTCAGATCTTTGTCCAGTTGGTGCATTAACATCAAAGCCTTATGCATTTACTGCCAGACCATGGGAACTAAGGTATGTATTATTAAAACATGGATTGTAGCTGAAGTCATTACCCTTCACACATGTTTTTCAATGTTTGTGTACATTCATGCTCATTTCCGCTTTGTTCTGATTGGTGGAAATCTGACAGCTCAGTCGATGGGAAGCCACACAGGAATTGGAGGTGGAATGCAAATTCCAGAGATCTAGTGGCAAGCTCTCCTTCTTTTTCCTGCCCCGCTGCAGGAGCGTCCCGGAGAGCTTGCTCGCAGGCTAGTGGTTTTAGGCTTGGTAAATGGGTACAGCAATAATTTATTTTATGTGGCAGTTTCAATAATTTTCCGCAAGATCTATTTATTTTCTATGTGTTTTCCTAAGAAAATCAGAGCTTAAACCCAGCCTTGTATCATCAGACTTAAAGAATTATCAGTAGTAGGTTTTGAATGTGTTTTCAATCCTCTGGTTTTCTAAATTAATAGATATTTAAGCTCAGCATTCTGTTGCTGGTTGAATATTACTGTAAATTACCTATTAAACAGGAAAACAGATTCAGTTGATGTTATGGATGCTGTTGGAAGCAATATTGTTGTAAATACAAGATGTGGTGAAGTTATGAGAGTCCTACCCAGAATGAATGAGGTTTGTCAGTGTGCATTATTTTATACTCTGTACTTTAGTGTGTAAAGCACCATCACACCTTCAATGAAGAAAAATTTTCATAACAGTTATTTTTATGAAAATGTTTCTATTGGGTTCTTTTGTGTTATCAAATATTTGCAAATTTAAGTTAAGAGTGCTCTGAAAAATAGTGATTGGCTGGTATAGCACACATGATCATGTTCCATGTTTTCATGGAGAAAACATGCAAGTATTTTCAACAACAAAGACCAGAAAAAGTCCAGATATACTGGTCATTCCTGAATGGATCTTTTAGCCATGAAAAATGAATATTACAGTTGAGCATTTCATAGAAATTTTTTTGGGATTTTAGCCATTTTGCTGTAGATTCAACTGAGAATAATTTACATTAAAATAATAACTAAAAAATATTCATATTTTTTCTCTTGTTGTACAATCTCCATTAGGCACGTACATTTGTCAAGTTGTTGAATGAACCATCATTTTGCTGGTGCATTCATTTTTTCTCTATGAAACGCCCATCCCCTAAACTAACGAAAACCAGTGTTGGTGCATTAACTTCCTTGTTTTGCTTTTTTGTTGTTGTTGTTGTTTTTAACTTTGGCTACTTTTAAGAATGAGAGTGTTAATCCAGAAGAAAAATATATTACCTCTAATAATTACAAATTAGTAATTAGTAAAAATAAGAACAAATTACTTTATAACTGACAGAATCATTATAATATTTCTTCAAATTCGTCAACATCCATTCACATCATAATGTTTTTATGAATGAATGAATGAATTTTACACTGCTTCACCATTATTTTTTGTAAGTTTGTTTTAATATGCTTTTCATCATTTTAGAGCTATTGCAAGGTTTAAAACTGTGTTCTTTGACATTCAGTAATTTATTATGAAGGCCTGGCGCAGATGAGTCGTTTACTGCTTTCATGATTGCATGTACACTGTACTTTTATATGTTGTACTTAATTTTTTATTTCGGTTAATGTGTTAGTGTGCTAATGAATTTAAAACAAAGAAAAAACCAAAATTAACTGAATTTAAAAAAATAACTGCAACATATACTTCCTGTACTTGTTTGTAGCTGAAACCAAAAAAATCTTTTTGCCATTTTAGGATATTAATGAGGAATGGATTTCTGACAAAACTAGGTAAGAGACAGGATGGGTATTATTTAGACCCAAACCAAATTTCCTTTGATAGCCAAAAAAAGGACTACTGGTTCTAAGAGAGAATGAGACAGGCTTTTTTTCCTCCATAAAAATCTATGGTTCTTGCTCATTTGCTTTAGCTTTGGCACATATGATAGTTATGTGACGTTCCAACCTGGCCTTAGTATCAGCCAGAGAAAGCTGCATATCAGTGCATTTACTTGTTTTGACCTGCTGGTTTACAATGACGTGTAGCTCGAAATAACATTAGAATATTTATAATTATTATTAGAATAATTATTATTCTAAAGCCATACTTGTACTTAAAGTCCAATCTAAAGGTTGCTGGCTGTAACCTCTTAGTTTTAACTCATCAGAAATCTGCAAAGGTGGCTTAATGTGAAACATGCTTAATTGCACTATGAATCTCAGCAACTTGATCTCTGTTTAGTCTTCTGGCCCTTACTCTCACCTGGGCTTCCCCTGCAGAAATCGATAGAGCAGGCCAGCATTCTTTCGAGTTAAACGTAACCTAAATTATGCTTAGGCACATTTAAAAAAAAAACAATTTTTTGTGATATTAGATAATGATAGTTTTACACTAGAGATTCAGAAAAGTATTGTATTTTTTACTTTACTTAAAATTGTTTTTTTGTATCAGATATTCCTATGATGGCCTGAAGCGTCAGCGCCTGACCAAACCAATGATGAAAGATGAATCAGGCAACCTCACACCCTGTACATGGGAGGAAGCACTGGTTGAAGTGGCTCAGAAAATGACCCATCTCAGTGGTAATGAAATAGCAGCAGTCGCTGGTGGGTTTGCAGATGCAGAGGCTCTTGTAGCTCTGAAAGATCTGCTGAATAGTTATGACAGTGAAGGATTGTACACAGAAGAGGGATTTCCATCTGATGGCTCGGGGTAGGTAACAAAGCCTGAGAAAACAGCCCACATTTCGCGATGCTCAGCTACCACTAGTTTCACTGCAAAATGACATCTGAGAAACAATTAGAGTGTACAGCAATAATTGCATGCTGTTGACGTGTGTCTACCCTGGCTGATCTGGGTAGTACTTCTCATGGATTGTGTTTCTGTACTTCATAATGCAGGAACTAGAATCCATACTAATCCAAATTAGAGGGAAATGTAAACTATTGACTAAACCCCTTCCCTCTTCTTTCCACCCATCAACAATATATATCATTTGCCCCTTTAAAACCACTTCTTTGCAAACTTAGTTTCTGAAAGCAACCAAACAAATTAATGGTTGTCACACCTGTTTTTATTCCTTTGTGTGTGTAATGGGCCATACATTGTATTTCTTTTTCAGAACTGATTTTAGATCCAGTTATATCATGAATACCACTATCGCAGGAATTGAGGTAGCGTCTCTTTTTCTTGCTGAATGTGGTACTAGAGTTGTATTATCTTTCATGACTGATTATACTTTGATTGTTCCACTATAAACAAAGAATGTACATGTAATGTTTTTATCATAAAAGGAATTTGCAGTTTCTTTGTCATAATTCTGTTTTACATTGAAGTCATGTCTCATTGTTTTGCTCATCTTTTTTTCCAGGATGCAGATGTACTGTTAATAGTTGGTGCTAATCCCAGATATGAAGCTCCTCTGGTGAATGCCCGTATCCGTAAAGGGTAAGTAAACAATTACATTTGTACTAAACAAATGAAAGGTCATCGCAGTTCAGTTATGTATGCAACTTAAGCAGTTGCGAAAAAAAAGGCTGAAAAAAAAAAATCAGGTTTGAACATGAACCCATGACTTGTGCAGTATTGTTGCAGTGCCCCTACTACTGAGCTCTCCCCCATTTTTCCTCAGGGATAGTAGAGGGAGCGAAACGCGAGCGCGCGCGAAAATCACCCCACGCGAGAAAAGGCGACATGCGGCGGGGAGATCGCCTTTCTCGCGTGGGGTGATTTTCAGACATGAAAGTTGCGAAACGTACAATATAACTGCTAGGATATTCCACATATTTAAGCATATTATGTGGTTATATCAGTAGGGTGTTGTGTGGCCGGTAATTTCTTGCAGTGCCAAAACAAACTGGTTAAGAACTGCCGCTTTGATCTAAGAAGAAAACACGAACCACCTTCCCGATCATTTCTCTGTCTTCTTCTCTTTCCTTGTAGATGGATGCATAATGACCTTCAAGTAGGACTTGTGGGCACTAAGGTCGATCTTACCTACACTTATGAGGTAAACCTAAGTTGTCTCTTTATTTTTAACCGTAAACAACGGGAAACAAAATTAACTGTTTCCCTCGGGAACAATCTTTAAGTGATATGTTGTTGCTATTTTGTCCGCTTGTTTTCTTTCCAGCATCTTGGAGATTCGGCCAGTGTCCTGAAAGAGATCGTATCTGGAAACCATGCATTCTCAAAGGTATCTGTCATAACACTGCGTTTGCATTACCGAATAAAAATAGCTTTTACTAGCCTTGGCAGTGCATTTGCTCCAAATTAATTCCATCATTTGAATGCTCTTAGTTAGTATTCAGCAAATCTGTAGCCTGCAGTCCATTCGTTTTTTTTTTCGGTGGCCGACGTGGAGAATACTATACTTTGCTCATGGTTGTGGCGCTTTCTACAGGTGTTGGCAAATGCTGAACGTCCCATGATACTTGTGGGAAACACTGTTCTTCAAGGACATGACGGTGCTGCTGTTCATCAAATAGCCGCTGACATGTCTCTCAAGCTGAAGAAATCGAAGAAAGTTGAAAAGGACTGGAAGGTTCTTAATGTGTTACACAGGGTAGGTCACCTCTACGCTTGTTTATTTTTATCATTGATTTCCTCTATCAAAGAATGTGACTCCTGATAATTATTATTTCTACATTTAAATACACTCAATTGGCCTATTTACGTCTATCATCTCGTATAAATCATTGAACATCCCAACTCCCCAAGCTAAATCTAGGCAGCACCAGTTCCTAACATTATTTTGCAAAGCACATTGTAAAACATACGGCTTTACAGTTCAAGTGGCTACCTCCTTCTCAAGCGCTTTGTTTTTCGGCGAGCACGAAACGGGGGTTACTAGTGATGAAGCGCAATGAATCATGTGAAGAAGAAAGGAGAGAGGCCGTTTTCTCCCTCCTGTTTTCATTTGCGTGCGCAAATTTTCATCGACAGGGAGACGTCTGGGTGCAAGTCAGGTTCAAGTTGCATTTGGGTGTCGAAGTGATGAGTGTACCTAGATGTATTGCAATGTTTGATGGCTTTTGTTGGTTATGTTGTTGTTAGGTTGCAAGTCAAGTGGCAGCTCTGGATCTCGGATACAAGCCGGGAGTCGACAAAATGGCAGAGAAACCCAAGTTGCTGTTCCTGCTTGGAGCTGTAAGTTTTCTGATCATGGGTGTACATAAAGGCCTATTAAGTATAGATTTCCCTCCTGAGCAAAACACACAGGGATCCATTACCTGCATTGGAATTCATCTTTGATGGGCTACCGTTTAAAATCCTATCTGGGCATCGATTTCTGAACGCAAACAGCGCTGATAAAGGAGATTGTTGGCTTTTTAGCTGTGAGTACTTTGAGCATTTCTTCCCTCGCTCAAAAAGCTCGAAATGTCTCACGATATTTTACCCTGCAGTAGTTTTTGCTTTCGCTAATGTGTCAACGAGGCCTAGGATGGCTGGGAAAATTCGTTATAAATAGTTCTTAGTCTTCAATTTCGTATTTCACAATCTGCATTGTGATTGGCTGCATAGGAACTGAGCTAGTTACTTGATTACACAGATTTATCGTACCTTTAGTTTTTAAACTGACAATGCCTCATTCCTTTCATCTTTTTGGCAATCATGCAGCGCTTGGCTTAAAGGGTAGATCAAAGTAATCTTCCCTCGTTGATGAAGAGTTATGTATTGTTATCGACTTGATGCGAAAGCGTTGTCAATTAATAAATGGAGATGTATCAAATAACTTGTCTTTGTTTTCAACAGGATGCTGGTCTGGTGAAACGTGAAGATCTTCCTAAGGACTGCTTTATTGTTTATCAAGGTATGTACTGTATCTTCTGGACTGTATGATAACCAACCTTCTTACGTGTGCGTGCGTCTTTTAACCTGATTTATCCTCTGTAGGTCACCATGGCGACCATGGAGCACACATGGCTGACGTCATACTTCCTGGTGCAGCGTACACAGAAAAGACAGCAACTTACGTTAACACAGAGGGGCGGGCCCAGCAGACTAGAAGGGCTGTGACGCCACCCGTGTACGCGAGAGATGATTGGAAGATCATCAGAGCAATATCAGAGGTGAGAAAATACCATAAATTCCATAATGCTGTTTGTCATCTGATCGCCCATTGTTTTCAGATCTTTTTTTCCCAAGAAAAATGAAGAGAATGCTTACGCAAAAGGAAACAAAACATTGTGGTATGTTAAACGTGGTGATCGCCCAAATCTTTTTCTTTATAAAAGGAACATGTAAACGTGGTAAAACAAATATATGATCATGTTAGAATGAAAGAAGGAGGAACTTTCCTAATTAACGTAAGGTAAATTTGAAGGATTTGTTTGTTAATTTCTCGTTGCATTGATTTTGTTCACCAACAGATTGCTGGTTATTCCCTTCCTTACGATAACCTGGAAGAAATCAGGCGAAGACTTTCCGAAGTTTCTCCAAACTTGACTCGATATGGTGACGTGGAGGAGGCCAACTTCTTCAACTTGGCCCTGGGATTGATGCAGGTAAAAGCGATTTAGATGAATCAAAACTTACAAAAGTTCATCATGATCCTTTATACATTATCTAGCTGCTTGAAATAATAACTTCAGCAGATTCCGAGGCAGAGAAAAATTTATTTTCTTTGTTGGTTAATTATCAACAAACCCCAGCCCAACCTCTATTCAGATACACTTGCCTTGGTCCCGAGGGTGTTCCCTGAATAATGGTTTCACAGTAGTTACCTTTAAAAGTCTAATAATAATAATGCATGATAGACTGCTTCAGAGGTGAATGGTTTTTAAAATTCAAGACATTTCATCTATGGTCACTGTCCAACCTTTTGAGTACGTAAATCGGGATATTTTTTAATAACCGACGAATCACGTAAGCGCGGGGGGTGTGAGCCGCAAGGGGTCTGGAAGCATGCTACCCTGGAAAATTTCTTGTGTTCTGAGAGGGTGATTCTTTCTAAAATGTTCGCCAAATTAATCGCTATTTTTATGCCATTTTTATTTGCGTGTTTTCCCACTTCCTGTATTCTTACAATTGCCTTCATTTCCGTTCATCTCTAGAGCTCTAAAGCCCAGCTACCGAAGAACCCGCTGCAGCCCAGTATTCTGGAGCTAAAAGATTTCTACATGACGGACGCCATCAGTCGTGCTTCTCAGACCATGGCCAAATGCGTGAACGCAGTTAAAACTATGAAATAAGAGTATCATCTATTTTGAACAGAGATGATCGATTCAGTTTCTTTGAATTAAATTCTTGAGGACTTTGGGATAAATTTCTTTAAATTGGAAACCTAGTGAAGATTTTGATACAGACGATGACGACGGCAGGGAAAACGTCGGTAAAAAAAATGAATTTGCGTTTGACAAACTTAATCGCGTCTATTTGGCGTTTCTTTGAATTAGAATGGCATTGTTGAGGATTCAGGTTTGGAGGAAGAAAATCGTCGTCGTATGTTCACGTCCTCCATAAAACGTCAAATTAAATTCAAGTCGCAGTGGACGTCAAAGGTACTAAAAACTGCAAGCAAATTCGTATAGTGCAGATAAAAAGAGAAGAAAACATCGTCGAAAGATTTCTGACAGTTACTTAAAAATAACAAGACCAAGCTTTCATTGACAAAATTTCTCAATTGAAAGACCGACAACGGAGACATTTGAGGACCTACCTTCCTAGAGTAGAAATAGTTCATGAGATGGAAGGAAGTATTTGGTAGTTATGAAGTGGACGGACGCAATCTTAAATACTGTATCTGTCAGATTATTTTTGTATAGTTTCATTCGTTTATCGAGTGATGGTTTCAGTATGTAATAAAATTGTTTTTAAGTGAATGAATGTAAAGCAGTCTCTGCTCATTTTTACCGTTTTTTTGCCTTCATTCGTTGGACATGCGGCTTTCGTGCGAAGAGTTAGCGCTGGGAGGCGGGATTAGTCGACTCGCTTGCGTTAACAGGGGCAGTTAGTCGGGACGATAGAATGTTCGTGGCGAAAGTTTAATATAAGATCTCGATCTTATAGTAAACGTTCGCCACGAACATTCTATCGTCCCGACTAACTTCCTCTTGGTCTCCGAGGATGGTGTGACCACGGTCTAGTTTATTTGTCGAACTCTGCACTGGATTGGCTGGCCTGGCCTGAATTTCAGACGATTACTTCCAGCCCTCGAAGTAATCGTCTGAAATTCAGGCTATGGCTGTCCGTGTAGCGGCTGGTCTCGGTCACCCATTCTCGTCCCCAGTACCCGTAGGTTTTTTGATCACGTGGTCATAAAATCTAATGGCTCTGGGGACTGCACTGACCTTGCTGTAATGGTCCACGTTCGAATTTTAACGTGACTCCGAGGCTTTATTTATGGTCAAATTGCAAATTTTTTAGGACTCCATTGTCTCGCAATTCCCAGAAGAGAATTGAACATTCATCTGCGCCCAGTAGTACAGTTGTTCAATAGGGGATAACACTATCGACTGGATAAATCTCTATCCCATGGATAGCGCAATTTATTCGTCAATTCTTATCCGCTGGATAGTGATTTATCCGGTGAGTAGCGCCACCCAACGATGGAGCCAATCAAGCCGGCGCCTGTCTGATAAAATTTCACGCTGGCAAAAAAAAGAAAAGAAAAGTTTCTCGCCGCCGCTACTAAAGCTTCGAAAGACCAGCCTCGCGCTCATGATGACTTGAATGACAGGAATGTAGTTGTGACTCTACCTCTATGTGGCAAACACTACCAAAGCAAAGTGAAGTTATTGTTATTAGGAATAAACTGTTTCTTTTACTTTTTTCTAGTAAAGCTTCTCCTGGATACTTTGAAGTATGAAGTTTTGTATTATCATTAGGAGAACTTTCGTTGCGCGCGCATAGTTAATTCCAATGAGAATAGGACATGCGTATATTCCATTGCGTCACAATACGACACAAATTTGGCATAGCGCCTTGGTGATTCATGAGTTTCAAGATTGATGTTACAACCATCATTCTCAATGTAGTTCTTAACGCAACATTTTGCCTGGCTACTTGGCGGGTTGCCAAAATGTGAACATCAAACTGATAATGATATTTTTTGTCTAAGACGAGGCAAATTTAGAACTTGACCTTGAAACTTGAAGGCGAAATATGGCTCCCGGCCAAAGAGACATCAATGACACTCGCTGTCATGGGTGTGGCCTGATAAGACCATGTCCTTGCGATGCGGAAAAGAACATTCATGGAACAGAGCCGCAGGAAAGGGGCCCTGGAGAGCCGATTATAATTCTGAACAACCGAAGAAAATCATCAGTGAGAAGACATTCATATCCAGCACCGGGTAAGATAAAATCATGCGTATATCTTTGACTTTCTCCGTTTTCCAAATCGGGACAGAGCTTATACCGCAGCAACTACAGAATACAGGGCCGTATTTTAAGGTCCTAAACAGAAGTGGCTCGGTGGCTCGCTAGTCAAGACAAGTGTTTAAAGAACGCCAAAGATGTAAAACATGTAAGTACAAACAGACCTTAAAAAGACGCAAATTTTAAGAGCAAGTGAAGGCATATATTTTAGTAACTCGGCGGCTCGGTGGCTCCTCAGTTGAGGTTACATAGTTGAGTGGCTCGACGGCTCGATGGCTCGTCAGTCAGGTCTACATACCGAGCCGCCGAACTGCCCCAACGAATATACCTGGAAAATTTGCCCTGTATTCTGTAGTTATGTACCCGCTTTTGGACCATCTACGAGAAATTTCTACTATAACGTTAAGTTTCATAACGAATGAAGACGCCTAATTAACATCATTGGCAAAGTGCGTGGAACAGCCCCTCATAACAGGTAACACCTTAAAATTGCAGTTTTGTTTGAAATGTATCCCCAGGTCTCCACGACAAAGGAGAGGAAGGCGAAGCACGGGGTCGCCCGTCAGCCGACCAACAGTCCGCCATCGAGACGCTAACAAGGCATGCTGATCTTCAAGCAAGGCTAACATCGGCTTCTAAGGGCGGGAGGGCATTATCTTACCTCAAAGACATCTTCGCGGCTAATCCAGACAACAAGATGGCGCTTAAGCTCTTTGGAAACAAAGCTGCTGTACTCTTAGAACAACGTCGACAGGAGCGGAAAGGCAAAGGTGTAATTCATCCTTTCAGTACCTTCCGGTGGTATTGGGACATATTGCTTATAGCCTTCATCTCTATGCATGTGATTTTACTTCCGGTCAGCATCTCGTTTCTAAGCGATGACTTATCCCTGCACTGGCTCATCTTGAACGGAATTTCGGACTGCATTTTTATCATAGACATCTGCTTGAATTTCAAAACTGGAATCGTCGATCCTAACAACCAAGACGAAATTATATTAGACAAGAAAATCATAGCTCAGAAATATCTACGGGGCTGGTTTGTCATCGATTTGTTGTCCTCACTTCCATTCGACTATGCTTATTTTATTGCCTCTTCATCTTCTGCTCAGCAAACTCTCATCAAGGCATCGCGGGCTCTTCGCATCCTCAAACTTGCTAAGTTGCTGAGTCTGTTGCGACTGTTACGGGTCTCAAGACTCGTTCGGTACATTAAACGATTTGAAGAGGTGAGTATCGCATTAGCTAAATCATCTACAGAATAGAATAAAAGTAATATAAAAAAAACCGACAGAGCACTGTAGGTGCATGTTATTAATTTGCACTTACTGTTGTCTAACAGAAAGGTTATACTATTCACAGTCTCCAATTTTTTCGTAAGATCGTCAGAATCGAGCGCTTATTGATAAGAGCGGCCATCTTGCAGTTCCATATGCCCGTTGAGCAATTTCTTTGATCTCCGCGATCTTAAGGAAAGATAGGCAACTGTGAACAGTCTACAGAGAAGGAATCGCAAGGCGTTGGCCGGGACAAGTGATTTTCTCTGAAGTTTAAATGCTTGTTTATATTGGAAAGTGAGCTTAGTTCCATTATTCACTCTTGTGTTTAATCATTGAATCTGCTTGACAGTCATTTAGAAGGCGAAAAACTCATATCCTTAGACAAAAAATTAAATCAATCAAGACGGTAAGAGCATGAATTCAATGACTCACTGACAAAATAATTTTATCCCACCATTATTGTAGCCCCTAAGCCATAAGTTTTCGTTCGGCGATGGCCACGATGGAGTTGATTATGCAGAAGTCGTTTACTATGATAATATAGTACTAAAAACCCTTGAATGCAGAGATCCATTCTAGACGTAAATAAAACCGACTTGTTCCATCTTGCTGGATCTTAGACTAATGTAGCGATGCTAGGGCTAGACGTCACTTGAGATGGGAATTAAAACAAAACTGAATGCAGGCTGGCAATACGGCAAAGGGCTGATATATTTGGGGCCAATATTACGGCTAACTAAATTAGCCTCCCTCAGGGCCAGGGCTACACTGAAAGAAAATACCATAACCGCTCCTAAGATTTTAGTTTAAATTTAAAAAAAAAGGTTAATGATAAACTAAAAGTGCGAACAATAGATAGCATGGTAGATAATATTTTCCTTCAGTGTGGCTCTGGCTCTGAGGAATGCTTATTTTGTTAGCCGAAATATTGGCCTCAAATGAACTAGCCCTTTGCCGTATTGCCAGCCTTGCATTGAGTTTTGTCTTAATATAGCACTTCTTGCTTTATGTTTTTTCCTTTTCAGTTGCTTAACATTGCCGCTGGCCAGCTTCGTATTTTGAAGCTGATTGGATGCATGCTGTTGTTATCTCACTGGAATGGCTGCGTTCAGTTTCTCGTACCATACCTACTAGAATTCCCAGAAAACAGTTGGGTCGTCATCAACCTGTTGCAGGTACCGATCTCATTGTTTGCTTTTCTTTAACGATGGGTTTTAAGAAACTAAGAGAATTGTTTTCAAACGTTTTCTGAAAAAAACATTTTTAGGGGTTGTAACTGAACCGAAGTCTAATTCCTGAGACGTTCGAACATTTAATCGATTGTGAAAGATTTGAACCCGGGAGTCACGTCAAAAGTAGGTTGAGTTTGATCGTCCGGGTGAACGTAGTCCTGAATAGGACTCACAGTTGTTGTTGACAGTGACTGATGTTTCGACAACCTGTGCCATAGTCATCTTCAGAGTCAAAGTGAGTTGTATCACCTCTGCTGATGGTATTATACTCTGGTTATTGATCTGATTGGTCAATTTCGTCGCGATGTTATTGGTCGTCTGTCAGTTAAGCCGTTATGTTATTGGCTATGAAGACTCGTAATCAGTAATTGGTGCGTTTCGATCCGTCTATTGTCACAGTTAAACAGTCGTCTATTGTTATAGCCGTATTATTTATAGCCGATTAATCGCTTGTTTGAAACGACATCAAGCTGGTGTACGCGGGACCGCCTCAAAGCAAACAATTAAGGATATTGTTATGACGAACTGTTGAATTCTCTTTCGAAAACGCTGAATAGAAGTTTACGGACCTCTCTTCAGTAATAATAGAGTAAAAATCTAATCACAATTAATTAGACTAAAAAAACAAACTCAAATTTGGGATTTAATTTCAAGCGTTTAATTGGTCCACAAAAAGCACCGCTGTAACTTTGGTTGAAATGGGCAACGTCAATTTATAAAGGAAGGCCATGTTGCTCGTTCGTGAAATAGGTTCATGCTCCAGGCTCATTTTTTAAACATCACATGCTTCAGTACACTCCTTATAACTAATTTTCCAATTTCGTATATCAGTCCCATTTGCCTTTAAAATTCCTAGCTGGACGGTTTGCTTCCCAAATATTTAACCAGTTAAATATCGTGGAGCAGTAATTTGAGGGTGGAAATATCTGTACCGCAGGATGAAGGGGTATACCCATGAAATCGTTGGTACACACAATTCGTTAACATGATTTGACTCCCAGAGCGATTGTCCCCTGGAACATATATTTTCTGGGATCAACATTGCTGATATATCGGTCTTTTAGTTTGATGTTTATTTGTTGCCATCCATAACTAATTTAGGGACTTAAAGATGACACGACAGCGACGACAACAAGAATGTCAAAAAAGCAATAGGTTGGATTGGCAAAACAACAACTCTGCACGTGCATCACTCTTTTGTAGATCTCTTTGCCGTCACTGCACGACTACGACGGGAAAAAGTCTAATATCACGTGTTGTGGAGGACGTATCCCTGGAGGACGTACACAAGCTACGGCTAAATTTTCTTTTTCTTTCTCTTTCTGAACTTGAATATGATTCTTAGGAATTCCGCTCAAAGAGAGTTCGCTTGCATTTGACAAAGTAAATGAGTTATAGAGATTAAAAGAACGCAAATCACTTTTTAAGCGACGTTTCCGTGGCCGTCACCGTCATGGTATCTTAAACGCCCTAATATTTCTATAGGAAGTGACATACTGAAGATGAAGAAATGATCGTCAAAGTGAACGCAATTTATGCAACTGCGTAAAGAAGCCTGAAGAAAAAAAAAATGCGGGACTTCAACGGGGTTTGAACCCGTGACCTCGCGATTACCGGTGCGATGCTCTACCAACTGAGCTATGAAGCCACTGACGTTGGGAGCAGGTCAATTGCGGGAAGTGACATACTGTTTTCTCATTTTCTTTTAGGACAGGCCTCCTGCTGAACAGTACAGTTGGGCTTTGTTCAATGCCATGTCCCATATGCTGTGTATTGGTTACGGGCGATATCCCCCTCAGGCTCTTACTGAACTCTGGCTTACGCTGTGCAGTATGACCATAGGCGCGACCTTTTATGCTGTGTTCATTGGTATTATGTCCAGTTTGATCATGTCTATTGATTCATCGGGGAGGCTTTACAATGAAAAGGTAACGCGACTGCTGTTGAAACCCAAGTAATTGTTCTCAGCATATTAGTATGAACAGAAGCTTGGACACCACAGCAGTCACCGAAATAATCGTAGGCTTATGCCTCAATTACAGCAGAACTTAAGCAAGTTTGAAATCTGTTTTGTGAAACAAAGTCTTTAATTGTGAAGATGAAATAATTTTGTCGGTGTGAATGGGGATTATGCCTTCCTCTAAAATCCTGAAATCATTTGTAACTCGCAGAATCTAATCACCATACTGATGTGAAGGAGCTGGAGTGAAATCCTGGCGATAGAAAAAAATTTCCTCTTCTCTTCTGTTGTTCTCCCTTGCTGACTCCTTAGTGGAAAGGAGTCTTCTTATCCATGACATCGTCTTTAAATTATTTCCATTTCAGTTAAGCCAAGTGAAGGAATATATGCGTTACCGGAAGCTCCCTTTGCGCATGCGCTTGAAAGTAGAAGAATATTATGAGCATCGCTTCCACCATAAACTATTTGACGAGGACATTATACTCAACGAGCTCTCCAAAGCACTGAGAGAGGTACATCCCTCACAACCATTAAGACTTGCTATGACTACGTCCTGTGTGCATCATTATACTATACGATCAGCTTTTAGTATCTGCGGGTGAAATCGTATATGGTAAACTTCTGTTTATAAGCCATAAGCCTGGCGGGGGCTTACACAACTTCGTAAGGAATTTTACGAGGGATTGTAATGGGGGGCGGAGGGGGCCTAAATCCAGGGGCATTTCGAAAAATGCTACATAGCAGCGCTGATCAAAATACTTTTTGAATTAAATCGCTTAGTTGAGCTTCAAAACGTCGTCCGAATTAGAATTCTTTTCAATGCAGGCTAGAGGAGGGCTTATTATATATCCGGGGTAGGCTCATAACCAGATGTATTTTTACAAGTAGATGAGTCTATAACTGGGGGAGGGGGAATAAGCGGAAGTGTACAGTATCACATTATTGTTTTGTTAATTCGAAATAAAGTTAACATGTAATTGATTCAATCCAATCTCGTTCTCAGGGTTGCTATCCCGAACGTCCCCGCGGAGTTCTCTTGCGCGCATTCACGAACTCTGCAGGAACCTTGGAAAGGAGGTTGGATTTAATCATGTCGCTTGTTTGCTAGAATCTGGTTCGCTGGTACACGATGAAAATGCAGAATCAGTGGACTTGAGATAAAATGATGTATTGATTGTGTGGTCTGTTTGAAAAAAACACTTGACGTCATTGAAGGAAATTTATTCCACCCAAACGTTACGTTATTGAATCCATCAAAAACGGCCTAAGTGGTCCCTGATATACTACTGGATGTGATTTACTGCGTTTTCGTAAAGGCCATAAAGTCGTCTGAATAATCATGTGCTTGTCATGTGACATGGCTATCGTGATATTATAATATTTTTTTGTTTCTAATTTTTAGGACATCTTAGCGCACAATGTAAGTCCGTTACTTCACACAGTGCCGTTTTTTAGCAACGCCAGCCGCGAGTTTATCGCAGACATAGTCAGCAAGCTCAAATTTGAAGTTTATCTGACTGGTGAATACATATGTAGAACCGGTCGGAAGGGAGACAAGATGTATTTCATTCAAAGAGGGATTGTTGATGTGCTGACAAGAGATGGAGTTTTAGCAACCAGTTTAGGAGATGGATCTCATTTTGGTGGTAAGACAGATAACAGACTTACTTATTGCATAGTTAATATAGTGGAATTATGGTTTTAAAGCCCCCTAGACCCTAAGCTCACTTGGATGTCTCGATGCAACGGCGGTATTCGATCTGTTAAGGAATGTTTTCCACCTACACAGTTTAACGAATTTGCAGCTGTTAAACAAGCAAGTCTACTTGCTTTTAAACTCCGGCAAAACATTTCTATCATGCAATCGTACTGAATAAGAGTCTAATTTCCCCCATTGGGGGTGGGGGGGGGAAACTCGGCATATGAAAGGGGTGGGGATGCTCGTCGCCTCGCTTAGGGGTGTAAATTCGGATTTTGGTCTCACTTAGGGTGTTCTGGGCAGAACGCCATCATATTTAGCCGTGAAGGTCTCGTTCAGGGTTGCACGCGAAAAAATATGAAGATATATATTTGATATGTATATTTTTCTTGGTCTCTTTTAGGGGTCAAAAAAAGCTTGGGCCACGCCCAAATCGGTCTCCTTTAGGGGTTTGATTCAAAATTTCCGACGAGCATCCCCATCCCTTTAATATGCGGAGTCCCCCTCGGGCTAATTTCTGGAAACAATAACGTAAATGAATGGATATATTCATTTGAATGAGAATACAGAGGATAAATATAGATACGATGTCACATTCTCCTTGCACATGCGTACAAAAAATACACCGCAGATCCTTGCGGGAACAATGGCCGCCATCTTTGGTTACCAATCCCCCTTGTAATGCAACTGATAACCGACGGGTAACCATGTATTTTACAGCTTCCAATCCAAGATATCGTCCGTAATCGGAGGAAATTCAAAAGTCCCCACCACCGGGACTTGGCGGTAATCAAAATTCCCCATCGTGGGCGGACTTTCTTTGTCAAATCCCCGGCCTTTGCCCGGCCTCCCCCCTCCAGATTAACAGTGTTAGGTGCATAATGTAAGGGTCAAGTATTCTTTACGCTGCTCTTGCACTCTATTAGGCTGGTGTATGATATACCAAGTAGCAAGTCTCGAGTTACGTCACAAAGAACACAACAATGATCCCTAGCCCTTACACCATAACACAATAACCTTCACACTATAGAACCAGACAATAGCGGATATATTGACTTGCTATATCGAGCATCTCCCCTCTATTATATCTGATATGATCGTTTGACTTTCTGCGATATCAGATTTAGATTTCGTTTACATTAATGATAAAGTTGCAAAGTTAGTCAAAACCAATTATTTTATTTTTTCGCCATTTTTTAAGAAATCTGTCTGTTGACGAAGGAAGCACGCAGGGTAGCCTCTGTCCGAGCAGCGACCACTTGTAACCTGTACTCGCTAGCGTCGCCACATTTTCATGAAGTACTTAAGGAGTATCCTGACATGAAGATGATGCTGGAAGAAGTCGCAAAAGAGAGGCTTACCCGCATCGGGCTTAAGCCAAACCTATCAGAACCTCTAACAAAGGAGGGGATTATGGACGGAAGGTGAGTGCGTGGGAAGCATGGGCAGCCACGACGACAACAGCAACCTCGTTCCCAGGGTTCTCTCATACCCGTCTCTACGGAGCGAGACTGGTAGGAGAGAGAACCTGGAAACGAGGTTGCGACAACAGGAGGCTGCGTTGCTGAGTAGTCTGCGCGTGCGCGTCGGAATCGCAATTCGGAGAACAGTTTCGGCTACTTTGTGGATTTGTTCTCGGTCGTTCCAAGTTTAAATACTCGGCCACGCATTAAAATAGCCAGCTGGTTGCCTCCTACCCGCTAACCTGAGTATCAGGCCCTCCTTAGTTAGGGGGAGGAAGGGGGAGTAGCTGGATAAGCTAATTGCACTTTCTATTATAAACAAACCTTTCAACGATTTAAACTTTTCACAAATGGGTTTAACGAGGCGAAGACTAGCACATTTCACTTTTTGACACATGTTTCCATAACTACGACCTGAGATTTATCAATGCGACGTTTAATGGCGGACGAGAGCACATTGTCCTTTCTTTTTTTAACTAGAATGTGGTTCCTTACAATTTAGTTTCAGAAACATTCCTTTGCAGTTGACAAACTGATTTTAAAACATTTGAAAGAACTGAACATAAGCCGTCAGGGCGGCCATATTGGTGTCCCAAGAAGTCCTCTGGTAGTTGAACCTTTTCACTGTGAATAAACTGCCATTTGTTACAATATATTTGCATAACTACTGGCCACACGAGTGAAGACGTTCTATATATGAACGGGAAATGGAATAAAGCGCGTAAGTCTTCATCAGCAGTATTCTGTCTGATTTCTTCTGTTCTTCTGCAGGACGGCATTCGAATTAGGTGACGACAATACCGACACATCCGCCAAGCAGAAAGATGTCCAAGCAAGCAAGCCTCAGACGAGCGACACAAAGCAGAAGCCACGAGCTCTCTCCCCGCTTGCACAGGAACCTTCAACTTCTACCAAGCATTCAACAGTACTACAGACACCCGAACCCTCCTTTTCATCGCACAAGAGACCTCGGGTGGGCAGTCCAATTCCAAAGGGAAAAAGCAAGAACACTCCTTTCTTGACCAAAGCTTTTTTCAACACCGTTGCACCAGGGTTAGCATCCTTTGCAGATGCGCAGAAGGATGAGCTCGACGTTGTGGTTGAAGAAGATGAGATTGAAGAAGACCCGGATATTATCGCAATCATGGCTGACTTTTAAGATCCCGGATAAACTTTCGCAATGCGATGGGCTGTAAAGAGCTAGTTCGAATCTCCTTTCTTCTCGTTTATTTTATACGTGTATTATCCCGTATCTGTTTTGCCTAACAGGGGCAACTAGTTGCATTTTTTAATGACGTTATTTACCCACTATATGAAAATCCAACTTGAACATAAAAGTTAATAAACCCTTGATTCATCACAAATTACGTAATTATTACTGACTTTAACCTGTGATTTTAAATTTTGTTTTAACTTGACCCGTGCGTTTATGAATAATTCATTGAAGAAAATAAAGCAATCAAACAAGTGATGTTATTGTTAGCATATTTACATCATATTGTTTAATAAAACGCAAACTGATTATAACGTGTTGTATGTAAACATGTTTGGTTGCAACTGTATTCGATGGATGGGATGAACTGTTTGAAAACTATTCTGCAAAGGCCAAAAGACAAGAATCTGTTTCGAGGTGTTGGAAAAGATTCAGCTGCATAATGAATCCTTGCTTACTAGTATTTGGTGCAAGCGCATCGCAGCCTACCCTTATCAAGGCCGTAGCTAGGTTTCTTATAACGGGGGTGGGGGGCATTATCGCGAGTGCCGAAGGGCCAAGCCTTTTAGGGGGCTCTTGGCGGTATTTTCCCCCTGAAACTTTTCAAATTTGGAGGCTCCGAAACGCTATTTTCATCACTCCGAAAAATCGACCACGAATAAGCGTGAAAAGCCAAGTGTTTTCAGTGCTTATATTGAGTACACTAAACATTTGCAACAGTTCGAAACAGTACATCTACAAGCCAATTTCATTGGGAGGTTTTGCTTCCTTTTGCTTACTATTTGCACACACCGGCCGTGGACCAAACAATTTCTCGACCATGAAAATGGCAAACAATTGCAAGTCACTACAATCAAAACAACTGCGTCTAAAGAAAACATATCCATCCACAAACTTGATTTGTCTGGCTCAACAGGTCCCGGGGGGGCGCAGCTGCCCCGCTGCCCCCCGTTGGCTACGGCTCTGCTTATCCCACTCAATTTAGCTTTCTTTATTTCCTTAACGGTGTCTAAATATTGGCTCGCCAGGAGTGCAAGTTGAAATGGGAGATTGTTCAGTCTGATTACCGGGGAAAATGCGACTCCACGTAATACACAATACTATGAAATCACACGCTTTGTAATTGAGCTTGATAGGAATTAATATAAAGGGCGGCTCTTCCTATCATTGCGAAGCAAGAGGAGTGCTGGATTCTTTAAAAACCTAATGCCAGCCGGGTGTCATCTGTTAGAAATGAGGCGAGTTTCACCCTGCTGATAAGGTATTGTAGTAATATTCACCCCACTAATTACAAGAGAAGCCTTTGTTCAGATAACTGGTATTTGGGGAAGGTAGTAAAGGTAAAGGCGCACACGAGCCAAGGGCCCACACGGCCGGAGCTTATACCGGTTTCCGTAGCATGAACCATGCTTAGGAGTATTGCTACTCCCTCCTGGACGGGATTCTAGTCCATCGCACCCATCTATACAACTGAGTGAAGAGAGACAAAGTGGAGTAAGTTCCTTGTCTAAGGAAAGAACGCGACGGGCGAGGCTTGAACCCCACACCTCAAGATCCAGAGTTACAGCTGTTAACCGCTCGGCCACACACGCCTATTTGAGGAAAATAGGGTCATTTTATCAACCATATAAGAGAGTCGTCAAAAATTCTCAAAAGAATGCAACCCAATCGAACTCTCGAAATCAAGAAAACAAAGACCCGTCACACTAGCTTCTCAATAGTAAACCGTTACATCACTGATCTCTCTACCTAGTGGCTCAGTAGATTACGTAACATTTTTTCGATTCCATCATTGATTTAAATGTGACATGTACGAATGTAAATTTCACCTTTATTAGCGAAGGAAGAATGTCCTTGAGGACAATCCAGATATTTTATATATTTCTCGCACGAAAAACCTAGGTTAAATTTAAGCAGCTCTATGAACTAGTCGTTTATATAACATACGTTATTTTCTATGTCTATTTACAATTAAAAATTCAGTTAACGAACAGGGGCACCCAACGGCAATTTTCGGGAAAATATCTGTTCGAAAGACGATTTGAGATCTAGAATTTTCGGAGCATTTGTTGTAAAATTTCTTGCTTGCCTGCCTCTCCTAGGATTTTCGAACATATACAAAATGGTATAATTACCGATTTTGGACGTATTTTGACACTAAAAAAGGCCACCTAGAATTTTCGGGAGCCTTTTCCTGGCTGAAGTTTTCGAGAAGGTAGGTTTTGATCCCTATAATTTTCGGATCACTAGACTTTCAGCTAGCAAATCCGAACAGATGAAAAGTTTTTAGGGGATAAAAATATGCCTATATCTACCGTTTGAATACTAAAATACGTTCAACAATGCTATGTTAAGTGATTTTGAACTATATCCTCGTTGGGTGCCCCTGAACGAATTAGATCAGTAGCCACTAAAATAGTCACTACATAATTTGAGGATCTTACGGGCCGTTGCTCTTTTAAAACACTACACGGCTCACTACTCAACTCTTAAGAAAACAAAGTACCTCTTACGAAAAAAACCTATTCGTTAAAACACGGGCGTTTTTTTTTTGATCCTAGACGTTACATGTTTCTTAGCAACCTCAGAAAAGATCGAGTGGGGTAAGTCAATACTAAGGTATCGCCACACTCTCAAGCTGTGCACTGTTTACTCAAGCGGTGGTCTTTTGTGCGGGATCATTATTTAATACAGCATCAAGTACGTCCATAGCGGCAGCTGGTATTCGCGTACCTAGAAAGGTAGAGAGAGATGTCATGTTATTTGTCAATGATCGAGACCCACAGTTAACCCTCTACACAACGGCCAACTTGGGGACAGACGAAAACGGCCAACGTTTGGGGACAGACGAAATTTTTGGCGTTTATTTGAAGTATGTTTAGGTGCTAATTTCATGCCTGTTATGCAGACGGTAACTAAACGTAAAGGTGTAATATGACATTTACCTGATTTTCACAAAAAAACGTTTATTTCAAACTGGGAAGCTGGAAGTCCAGAATGTTTTTTGAGTTTAATTTCATGCTTGCTGTATCCCATAATGGTAGTCCAATCATATATAATATATACAGATAAAATTCATTCAAAAGCATGAATACTGTTTTGAATCAAAATGTTAAGGTGACAAAACGGGCAAGGTTCGCAACATTCGCTATGAGTATCGTCAGCAATTTATCATTACTGCAGCAGTATAAATGGAACAAAACAAAACAAAATACGATTGCATGCCGCGATTAATCTTCAACGGGCCATACGGATCAAATTTCCTGACCATTCTTGACTTTTTCATCAGAGATGAAGAAACTCGCCGTTGTCGAGAGGCTATTATGGAGCTTAAGCAACAACGTTTTTGAGCGACGCACGTCAACAGGAAGTGGCCTTTTTTCATTTTTTGACGGTGGTTTCGCGCAAATTTTCAGTCAAATCGCCTCTATAAAAGTAAAGAAGCTAAGGAATACAAATTTTATATCATCAAGGCATGTTAAGAGGGAAAATACCTCACTTCCGGTTGACGTGCGTCGCTCAAAAACGTCGCTGCTTAAGCTCCCTATTATGGACTTTACGAAACCACGGCGACGACGGCAACGGGAACGTCAAAAAACAATAGGTTTAATGAGCTAAACAACAACTCTGCACGTGCATCACGCTTTTTTGTACACTTCTTTGCCTTCATTGCACAACTACGACGTGAAATGACCAAATTTTAAGTTTACTTGGGAACGGGAACGGCAAGGTGATAAATTCTACCATCTCTGTCCGAACCTGAGCGCGTTGTCCTCTCTTCGGCTTCAGCCAAAATTCCCTTCTCTTAAGCAACAGGGCGAATTAGGATAATCGCGAAAAAGTTTAAAATGATGCGAAGTCTGTTTTTCAGCAACGTTTTCATGGACGTCGCTGTTGTCGGATCGTAAGGTCCCTATTTTGGCAGTTGGGGACACGCTTTAGAGGCCGTTGCCGTTGTAGAGAGGTTTAAACAAGAGCCAATGTATGGACTGTCTGCCGGGACGAAAAAGGGGACCGTTGTAGAGGGGTAGCCGTCAGTGCAGGTTCGACTGTAATGTCTACTGTTAAGATGTTTGAGTGTAGTAATGCCAATTCTTGAAATTCAAACTTTGAAATGCTAATTGCTACCTTAATGACGTAACTTTAGTCAGAAAAGTATTATTTTTAACTTCCATTCCGGGACTTTAGCAGACGTCATCCCGGGGCTACAAAGGTGATGAAAACATTCACCATCAACAGTACCGTAATCATCATCATCAACATTATCAGCACCATCGACACATTAAAGACAACGTGACTAAAGTGACAGCGAGTCGCGCAGAGCTAAAAATCGACGTGACCAATAGCAGAGCAAGACACTGAGTCACGTTCAGCCTTTTCCGTGCGATTTCGCTTTCTCAGTTAACGCTGCATTGTCTTTACTCAATCTACCTCATGATTAATGACCGATGATCATCGTACCGACTAAGAACATAAAACTGAAACGTTTCAATTTCTTCCTACTCCACTTACGACTCCGTCGCTTACGTTCCGCTTATGATCTAATGAAAACCAAATCGTAGGAGTCGGGAGCAGAAGCGGAAGGATAAACCAATCACAATGCACATTCCCGCGCTTTGTGATTGGTTTAGTTCTTCTGCTTCTGCTTGCGAATGCGACAACCTACAATTTTCACTTGATCGTTAACGCCGCAGTCGCTCTTTTCAGTAGATCATCAAGACCTACGCTTCTGATTACGACTCCGTCTCCGCGCTAGTGAAAACCAGCCTTACTTCTTTCCACCCCCAAGGAGTAACACCAAATTTATAGCAAAATAGATCAAGTTTTGCAAGCTACTTGCTATCATGTGGTCATCTTACCGGGTCCAAATACAGCGTGAACTCCAGCTTGATGTAGGAAATCATAGTCTTGGGGAGGAATCACACCGCCACACACGACAACGATATCGCTGCCAGAACAGAAAACACGGTGAAACAGTAACAAGGGAGAGAGGGTGTGGGGGAGAGCAGCGCAGTAAATGAAGCTTGCTTTGTCCCTAAAAATCGTGCCGCGAGATTATTAGGAATACTGTTAAGAGAATACAACACACTTCGTCTAGTTCTCTTGCGGAGAAGTAACGTTTAATTATAAACGTTTGTCCTACGTAGCCACATGTTTACCTCTCTCCATTGCGTTTCAAAACACCTAAACTAGAGAAGAAGATTTACTTCTTTATACGAGCTGCAAGGTTTTAATAAAACTACTTGAATATGATCACCTAATCTGCAAAAACTAAAGTTGTCCGTACCTTGAAAAGGGTAGTAGTCAGTTGCAAAGGAAATCACTGACAGGTTCATACATTACACCTCGCGCCTGAACGGTAAGGTCGCTGAAGTCAGCTTACTCAAACTCCCTCCCTCTGCAACCCTATGGTTACGTCGAAGACCCACAAAATTGGTCCTGGCGAGTTGATAGGTGGTTCACTTATATCAGTTAATGCACAGGGCGGGGAGAGTGAGAGGGACTCCTTGAAATATACTGCACCTTACCCTCTTCCCATTTTCTTCATTTCGGCGATCAGCTCAGGTAAGAGTGTTTTATGTCCAGCGGCCTGGGAGCTGATTCCCACCACATGTACATCTGCGTCCACTGCCTGCTGCGCCACTTCCTTGGGAGTCTGAGACGAGAAAAATGAGGCTCTTAACAAAGAAAGCTAACATTAGTCAACACACAAAGACCAATTATAGTTGAGACGGCTCAAAAAACATAAACTGCCCAGGGGAGCAGAGAGTTTCAAATATGACGGGCAGTGTGCCAGGTAGATACGATTTCGGAGAAGAAGAAAGTTTTACAAGTGGCTTAATGTGGTACGAAGCTAAGGCTTCCCTGGTGTTATAGGGGCAGTCCTGTAATACTGTAAATGGTGATGAGTTAAAGGAGCTGTGTCACGAAATTCAGCCAAATCATGTTATTGCAAAATGCCCGTTAAATTGAAAGAAACATAAAAATAACCGCTTAAAACATTAAAGGAAGGTTAAAATAACACAACAGATACAACAGATGCCACGGGTGGGCAAAACTGAAGAAGAGTAAAACGGATTGAAATGAGGGTTTTTGAAAACTGTTCAGCCTAACAGTTTTTCAAAGTTTATCTGTTCAAAAATAATGCTCAGGGGACATATTTGCTTGTCTCGAATCTCTGATTTTGTCATTTCCATGTAATTTCTTTGCTTACTTTAAGTTCCATACCGATTGAGGGAGAGTAATTGGCAAAATTAAACAAAATGAACTGGACTGCCGTGACACAGCTCCTTTAAGATCCTGATCACTGACCTGGAAAAGTGGTCCAATATCGACGTCAAATCCGAGATCAGCAAAACCAGTAGCGATCACCTTAGCGCCTCTGTCGTGTCCATCTTGACCCATCTTAGCCACCAGTATTCTGGGACGACGGCCCTCCTGTTCCACGAAGCCCTTGGTTTGGAATAACACACACACGAGAAGAGACAAAAATGTATTTGTACATTAAGGGTACGGTTTTAGTGACAGATTCAAAATCGTTCAGCAATCTAGAGGTAAACCCAACGGACACAGAATACTGTGCTGCAATACGGTTGCAAACATGGACCAAAAGGATGTAAAATAACTCACCTCGACCTTTTTCATGCACTGGGTAATCTCATCTGATTCGCCAAACTCGGATTTGTAAGCACCACTGACCATGCGATCGCTGGCAACATGCCTTCCAACCACCTGTCATAAGTGATACGATGCAATGAAAGCAATAATGATAACAATATTTATAATGATGATGATGATGATGATAATGAAGATGATAATCTTTATAGAGGAAGCTCCTGTCATATGAAGTGATTTTCTGGGACGTCGTTACGAAGACAATTAATATTAAACTTACTAACACTAAATTACATTGAAACTTAAAAATTAAAATATTTCGCCAATATAAAAGGCTAAAGTGAAAACATTACAAAATAAAACACTTAGAAATTAAAAACGTTTTATGTAGCAATGTTAGACTCTACCTGCTGTTTGATGCTCATAGTGCGGTGCAATAAAAATAGGTTTTTGGATTGCAATGTTATTGTAATTTAAGTAGGTTAACACTTCGCGTTCTTCACTTAGGTTCTTCACTAAGGTATTGGAGTGAAAATAACGTGTGACAATTTAACTGAAAGCTGTTGTGTAGAAATTTCCTGTGATACCATTTATTATAGTATGGTGTTTCATCTTTTGAGTCTTTGAAAAATATCGAAAGTGCGGTTAACATTTACGAAACAGTTATCTCCACTTTGAAACTTTTTTTTTTTAACTTTTAAAGTTCATGTTGAACTCCTACCCTTTCCATTGCCTCGGTTATTTCACCTACTGTGCAACGAACTCTTGCAGCCTAAAACAGAAAATTAATACCATCAGTTGTTCAACATGTGGACATTGAACTTCCTTATAACTTCGGTTAAACATTTGCAAATTCTTAATTCTTGAACCTTGCTTCTATACTCTACGATCTCCAAGCACAAGACCGATGTAACACGTATTAAATTAATTTCACAATAAACTCTGAGTTTGATACCTTGATGGAAAGATCAAGAAGGTTGCCTTCTCCAGTTTTGCAGCATTCAGAAATTGCATCCATAGCACTTTTCACCTGAAGGAATTAAATCACTCACAAACGTCACATAAGTGTTATAGTCTATAATAACAGGTTTAAGTCTCGAACATTATCATAGACAAACGTGAGTACCTCGTCTGGGTTTCGAGTTTCTTTAATTCGTCTAAGTTTCTCCACCTGAAAACGAAAAAAGTCAGGATAAGTTTACACCGCAAAACAGTCGTATTTTTGCCCTGGAGAAAAAAAAAGGTAAAATCAGGGGTTGAAACGGACGGCGAGACCAGAAAGAGACTAATAGGGAGGTGAGAGGCTCGCCCGTTCACACTCAAGAATTGCCGCTTACGGTGTTTTGCGTGAGACTGGGAAGAGGTCACGGAGGTGTGAGGCTCATCTGTTGACACACGGGAATTCACACACACAGGTTCTTCGCGCGAGACTGGAAAGAGCCTTCAGAAGTGTTAGGTTCGCCCGTTTATACTATAAAATTCGCATTTACGGTTTTTCACGCCATGTTTGCAGTCCCTTTTTATGACAGATGCGTTTACAATAAGGCTTTGCAACCTCTTTTCAACAAATATAAATTTAAAGACAAAATAGTGCAAAAATATTTCCATTACAACTTCGCCCTTCCGCTGTCCTTTGCGTCGGCATTCCGAATTACAGACTTAAGGGTTGATTTTCACTGACGCGTTTTTGGCTACGCACGTTAATGCACGTAAATAAAATAGAGGCAAGATAAAAAGTGCTGAGTTTAAACGAGAAGTTGAGCAAGATTCAACTTTTACTCTTACGAGCTACCTTTCATGCACTACCTCTATTATATTTCCGAACGTAAATTTTACGCACGTACGCACGTAAAAATTATGCGACACTGGAAAACAACCCTTACTCAGAGTCTAAGAGTGCTTGGTAATACATGAAACGGTTATAATTTTGTGTCTATTTATTAATTGTCTATTTATATATAATATAATTTATAATACAATTCAGATGTAAGTAAAATAAAGAGTGAAGGAAAGGCATTGTATAGATCGCATCGGGTGCATTAGGTTATAAGGCAAAGGAGTAAGGAGGTTTAGGTTGGCTGAAGTTGTAAGAACAAAACGCTTGACTTTGTCTGGAAAAAAATCTAAAAGCATTAAACTCTAACCTGTTGTTCTCGAACTTTGGTGTTGTCCACAACAAGCACGTCAATGGCTTCTTCCTTCTCCAAGCGATATTTGTTGACACCAACAATTGTTTCTGATATAACGAAGAGACAATTGTGTCACTTAGAAGAGTGACCAAAAGCAATTATAACATAGCTAAAAAATTCGCCTAATCAAATTCAATAGCGCGAGCGTGCTTCATATTCCTATTGAGCACGCTGATGACGTCAATAAACTATTCGTAATTCCTCGAGTTGTTGTGAGCTTAGCAATCCTGAATCTCCTGAGTGCATCCATAACTCAGCAATGGACAATGACGCGTTTACCATGTGTTTTATAAGGAAATTTGAGAGGAAACGTTTGAATTTGTTAACCGATAGTAGTGAAAAGAGGTGAGTGTTGTTGTTGTTGTGATCTCCGCGAGCTGTGCGGGCTATGGCGTGAGATCATTCTTTGCAAAGTCGTTTTCTCTCAATGGCAATTTTTCGGTAAATTAATAGTTTTCCGGCACCTAAATATGGATTTTACAATCATTTTAGAGTACACTTTCTCTCAGTTTCAGGATAAAAACACAAGATTAACTGTGAGGAAAAAAAATATATAGTCACGTAAACATTGACGCGTACTGCTTTGAGCGCGCCCAACAATAATAAAATTTTAAGTTAACTGTTGCATTGACCGCTTTGATAATGTTATAAAACAATTAGTTCATGCTGCAGCTGTGCGTATGTCGAGATATTGAGCACTTGGGAAGTTTGGAGAGCACTCAAGAGGCTAGAGTTGCACTCGGCTGCGCCTCGTGCAACTCTTACGCCTCTTTCGTGCTCTCCAAACTTCCCGCGTGCTCAATATCTCGACATACGCACGCTGACGCATGAACTAATTGTTAAGTTGAGAAGCCAATATTGTGTGTTAGCTGAATTATCTGAACGTGTGATGATGATGTTGATTATTATTATTCGTGCCCCTTTAACCCTTGCACTCCCAATAGTAGTGAACCGAAAAATTCACAGAAAATTCAAATTCCTTTTTGCGAAATCCCAAGAAATAAGGATACCATGCAAAACTTTCGCCAAAAAGGTTTGAATCGTAACATATTTCGTCTATAGATTAAAAAGCAAGAGTGACAATCTCCCCTAATGTGGCTTTTAAATGGTTTCAGTAAATAAACATTGAGAGACTATAAAATGCATGTAACAAACTTGAAAATTATGTCACAGTGCACTAAGGAGGTGAACCCCCTTCCTGATTGAACTGGCATATTCCAGACGTTTTGAGGTTTCTGCCTTTTGCAAGGGGAAGGTAGTTCCCTGAGTTTGTTGCAAATGGGAGATTTTTATGTAGGGAAATATAAACGGCTTAGAATACATGTGGGCATTTCAACCACGTTTCCTCGAACTATTTCAAGATGGAAAAGCGGGAAAAAATAAAGAATTAAGATTATTTGAGAGTGAAAAGTTAGGGTTTGGGTCACCCTCAAATTGTTTAGCCCGAGCCCTCGCTTTTTTCCCATCTAACCTGAACCAGAGTCAATCCTGGCCTGGCGCTTGGCTGCACATTCTTCGATCCTTAGTTTTGGCATTCCTGCTGCAACTGCTTTAGCCATGCCCCCTAACTCTTCAACCTAAAGAAAAAAAGGAATAGAAATGTGACTAGAATATCAATCAACTCAGTTTTTGGGATGCCATCCCTGGTTTCGTCTCGCGAGATGACGTCTGAGGAACGAGCGCAGATACCCGTGCTTCTCATTGGTCGTGCCGTGTGGCAAATTTGCTTCAACCAATCAGATGCAAAACGGGGTAATGTCGCGTCATCAGTATGGAATTTCTCCGCTCGTTCCTCACACGAAATTTCGCGGGGAAACCAGTGGTAGCGTGGCAAAATTACGGCTATTTTCTCAGGCTTTGTTTTGGACAATGGACAGTCCCTTAATTCAGATATCAGAGAGACCAAACTACACAGGCGCAAGGAAAAAAACACCTCTCGTGACACAATTGTTACACATCTGATTACTCGCATGTATCACTTGCTTTGCTGTCTATGAGAAGAAATAGAAACTAATTGAGCTCAAATGTTACCTGAGTGCATAGATGACTAAAAACATGGAAAGTAACCAGGTGTAGAATCAGAGTGCCTTTTTGGATCGTAATCTTAATAGAAACCATGCTTAAACCTGTCTAGGAAAAATTAAACCTTTCCACCGTCAAAACAAACTTAACGCTATCACTCCCAAGTTTATACACGCGAATTCTAGATGAGCTGGCATTTTCGTCTTATAATTCTTCATGGTCTTAAATTCAAGCAAACTCCCGGTCTTACCTCATTAATGACTTTAAGTCCTTCTTCATAAATCTCATTAGTCAGGCTTTCCATCATAAATGAACCACCCCAAGGATCTGCAACCTAAATATATTTATTCCAGTTTAGGAAGATTTGAAAATGTGTTACGATAAATTGCCAGGTACATGTACAGCTGAAGATCAGGATAGTGAACAGCTCTATCTACATGTACAACCGCTTTGAAAAAAAAATACTCTACTAACACCGATATAAATTCTGTATTTTTACATTCTGTGAGGGGTTATTCATATATAAAGCGGAAGCAGACATTAGCGACCCTTTGATACACCGTTTCCGCGCAGGGGTATGGGTAAATAGACAGGGCTGTCATTAAGAGGCGGGAGCCGGGGATTTCCTTCCGCTCCGCTACTATGAACGTAGCCCCTGACTACTTTCATAGGAAAATAGAACCCAAAGAAATCCCTAGCTGTTTAATACCCGCCTACTTGTTGTATTTACCGGGCAACTTGAAATCTTGCTGACAGCCCTAATAGACCTTTCCACGGTTTTTCTCAGCTTTTGACATGGACAAGTCAGGGAAAATCCATCTCCTCCGCAGGAAAGAGCGCCTTTAAATTAATAAAATTTCCAAGTTTGAAGGTGATTTGTTGAAAACTAACGAAGATATACCTCCTCAAAGTCGCGAAATTTCACTGACGTTTGTGGCCCACAATGTGGCGGCACAAACTTGCCCCCCCCCCCCCCTCCCACCATACAAACGTCTGTAACTTTTCGCAATTTTGCGGAGCTTTACCTTCGCACGCTTGAGACGCATCACTTTCAAACTTGGTAGGTTAGTAATTTCAAGGCGCTCTTTCCAGTGTTGTCGACGGATTTTTCCCTAACTTGTACATGTCAAAAGTTGAAAAACCCGATACCCATACCCGTAGCTGTGAGTAGGAGCAGAGCGTCGACCGGGAAGAACGATGATGTTATTATTAGATCTGAGAAATTCTGGTTTCTTTTTGTCAAAAGTGCGTTTTAATAGGATTTTGAAAAATTCTTTGAGAGCTTTGAAAAAGTTGGCCCAAGTTTTTCAAGTTTTAGCTAATGTCCTTTCTTGCCATCCGTTGTAAAAGACGACAGGAAACAGTTCCAGTGCTTATTATAGCCTTGAATAACAAAACTGGTCTATTATTGGAATTCAATTGATGCAAAAAAAAGTTATAGCTTTTTAAAAAGATTGCAAACAATCATTTAACAATGCCTTGGATCCCGCTGGTCTTCGCTTACGGGAACTCTGACGTTGGTAAAGAAAGCAACCTTTAGAAATCACCTTAGGAATTCCTGACTCTTCTTGAAGTATGATCTGAGTATTACGAGCAATCCTTGCACTAAAGCGAGTTGGTAGTGCCAGAGCCTCATCAAATGAGTTGGTGTGGAGGGACTGGGTACCACCAAACACTGCCGCCATAGCCTCTATTGTTGTTCTGATAATATTGTTGTAGGGGTCCTACACACAATAATAAAAATAAAAAACAAGAAAACAAAATTAATCTAAAACCTGGTGCATAGTAGGTCTTATGAGACAAGTTTCTGTGAAAGTTGGCTAAACAAATCAAATTGTAAAAACATAGTTCAAAACTGTTAAGCATCATCTCAATGTTACAAAGTGTCTTAAAATATAAACATACATGATTTTAACATTCTTTTACCTGTTCAGTAAGTGACCATCCAGAGGTCTGTGAGTGAGTTCTCAACATACATGATTTCATGTTCTTTGGCTTAAAATTCTTTTCAATCTGGTGAGCCCAAAGTCTGCGTGCTGCCCTCATCTTTGCTATCTCCATGTAGAAATTCATTCCAACGGCCCAGAAGAATGAAAGCCGTGGTGCAAAGCTGTCAATGTTCAGACCTGCTTTAAGACCTTAGATAGCCAAAAGAAAGAACACGTTTAAAGGTTAAAGCCACCATCAGCATCCCCTGGGGTTTCATAACAGGACATCTCAGCGTTTTGAAACGTGGAGGGCTTATCTGCCAAATACAACATCCCTGTTATTTTCAAGTAATCTTCACAGTGGGGTTTGTTAATTTGTGCCAACAGACAAACTGCTGAGGGCAGTGCTATTTTTCAGGTATTGTTTTTGAGTCACTGTAGATTGAGAACTTGTTTATGTACTCTGGGAACAAGCGGTGAAGCTTTTGAGTCATGAACGATGAATGAGGGCAAAAGCCTTTTTAGCACAGCTCCTTATTGCCATTAATTTACATAATTCTATTTTTTGCTCATCGCCTGTAGCTCTGCCCTGGAAAGAAGAACAACCGCTCACTGTCTAGTTAACATATCAATACTGCAAAGTACCACAACCAAATTAGTACGTGGTAGAGGCCTAAATTTCGGTGGTTTTTATTTACCCCCATACCTGTTCTACAGTACTCTAATCCATCAGCTAAAGTGAAAGCCATTTCTAACACTGCATCAGCTCCAGCTTCTTGCATGTGGTAACCAGAGATTGAAATACTGTTGTATTTAGGCATATTCTAAAAACACAACCAGAATGGCATTTACAATGACAATTTTATATTGCTGTTCGTCACAATGAATTTGTATCAGTTTCAGCGTTTTCACATACACACCCAGTTACACTTCAAAACATCTCTTGAAATTTATGCTTGTGACTGAACTACAACATTTTCTGAACAACAGTATAGCTGTAACAAGTCAAAATTACATTCAGCCTAACATTTTTTAACTTACACATGTAAGTTGATTCTCCGTTTCCTCTGTCTTCCAGCCCTGATTATTCATGAATTAGGGCTAGGAGACAAGGAAATTGAGAATCAACCTAGGTTAAAAAATTTTAACCTGGATTTAATTTTGACCTGTAACATAGCCAAGCGCTTATATTTTCAATTTTTACTTGCAGTTGGGCAAGATTTTTTCCCTTATAGCAGCCATTTAACCATTACACCTCTAGTGGCCACTGTTTTATGAGAACCATTCTCGTAAGTGGCCAGCTTCAGTAATGGACACCTTTTTTGGGTCCCTATGGTGAGCTTCTACTGTCCCTACGAGAGCTTATACTACATGTCTTTCTCACTAAAAGAACATAACATTAAAGCAGCAATTTGAAAAACTGCTCAAGTTAAAAATTCACAAATACCTTGGATGTGTAAGAGAAGATATCACCAATAAGCTTCATGGAAGGCTCCGGTGGAAAGATGTACGTGTTACGCACCATGAATTCCTTTAGAATGTCATTTTGAATAGTCCCAGATAACTGCTCTTGTTTTACTCCCTAAAAAACAGTCGCAGAGTTGTTAAATTGCTTGTATTATGAAAATTTTTAGACACATTAACTTTATAGCGACAACAGTAAAGTGAATGTAGATTGGAGTTATTGACCCTGCATGACCTTTTTCCTTGTGGTAAGGCTGGGAGGAGGGGGTTATGGAGACTAGTACAGGAAAGGCTTGAGAAGGATCCAGACTTTATTTCAGAAGGAAAGTATTTATTTTGCTGTGCACACATTGAAGCAAATGTGAAAGAGATGGTTATTCATTCAGTGACACAGGCAGCTCAGAAGAAAAAGTCTGAGTACTCCCATTAGGTGTCAAACCTATGACCCTGGGCAGGGGCACTCCTGTATTTGGCCTATACAATACATGTATGTGCCACTGAACAGGGTATGGTTTTCAGGGTCTTGAGTATTAAACAGGGTATACAATTCCACTTCTAAGCATCTTGAACAGGGTGTCTTTTTGGACTGGAAGCCTTTCAAAGAGCATGGAGACTTCCAATGAGCGGTCTACATTTGCAATACAAATAATTTTTTTCCTAAATATCTATTTCCAAGATTTTAGTGTAAAAAATTACTTAATTCTGCATGCAAAACAAAACAAATCAGGCACAGAAAGTAGTGTCTCCGGTCTTAAACAGGGTTGCAAAATGAGCAATTTTTGTCTTAAACAGGGTCGGGGTTTGAAGGCTTTGGCAGAAAAGGTCTACCCTGGCCTCTGATTACTTGTCCAGATGTTTTAGATGTACCACTAAGTAGCAGTAGACTCATGGGAGCTACTGTAAGGCTATTGAAACAATGCGTACAAATCTGTACATGTAGTCTAGCTGGATATTTTAGGCAAGTACCCTCTTGGGATTATTACTTAAAGGGTACTTAATGAGATAATGGTTTTATCATTGCTGGTTAAGCGTAAATCAGTGCAAGTTTTATCAGGCATTTGTATGCTATATGTCTTGCTGTCCATGCTAACAAAAATGTACTTACAGTAAAAAAGCAAAGTTATTAAGAACCATTGATATTGACTGATATATCACCTTTTCTTCTGCAGCAACAATGTACATGGCCAAGACCGGTAACACAGCACCATTCATTGTCATTGACACTGACATTTTTTCCAAAGGTATGCCATCAAATAGCATCTACAGTATAGAAGAAGAGTAAAGGATACAAAATGACTTTTCATTAACCTGTAATAAAAATAATCATTACACTTCAAACTAACCCAACAACTCAACTTACCAACCCACAATGGAGGGACTGTTATAGAGCACTTTCATTGACTTAGCAATCATTGAAAACAAGTGCATGCAGTTTTGGTGTGATTAGAGGAGAAGTGTGAAGTCACAACATATTCGTATTTGTAAAATTATGGGATTGATTAGCATATTCAGAAAGAACAAGATGAAAAAAGCCCCTTTGCTAAAAATCAGCCTGTTAGTGCAAATTGGTGAGGAGATATATATAAGCACCAGTTTGTTTTGATGACTCCATACAAAGCCCTCTAAAATTGGCCAGGATCATAACATTAATGATCCAGGCATATTTTAGGAGGGTTTATATAGGGTCATCAGAGCATAACGCTGCTTACTTCTCCTCACCAATTTGCACTAACGAGATAAGTTTTGGCAAGCGAGCTTTATTCACCCTGTCCTTTCTGAATATAGTAGCCCATTCCATAATTTCACAAATTTAGTTTTTTGTGACTTCATTCCTTCTCTTCCGTAGTACACCTTGGTACCACCCTTGACATGTCTGCACCTACTATTTCTTTCACAATGGTAAAATTACTGTTCTGACAGAATTTTACCTTCATGTCCTCAACAGAATCCACTGCAACACCAGCCATTCCCACATCACCATGAACTCTGGGATTGTCAGAATCATACCTATGGTAAACGAAATAAAAAAACAACCACAACATTGTTCTCACCATTCAACTTCAAATTCTGGATCCACCACTGTACATGTAGAGTGGTGAAATTCGAGACTTTGCTAGACTGTGAGACACTGGTTTCAAAATTCCAGACTCCAAGATGAAAAATTACCCAAAAATGGGACTGAGATCTAAACACTTCCAAGATTTTGAGACTAGGCCAAAATTCTCTGAGACCCAAATTTTTCAAGGAACCATTCTATACCAGTAAGCAGTTTCGCATTTTGTTTTCTAGACGATAACTGGAGTCAGTAATCCAGGGGTCAATATTTACACTGTAAATAAATCTATAATTTTGTCCATTAAACTGCAGAGGGTCTCATGTGCCTAAAGAAAACACAGTCAATGTCCTTACCCACGATGGGTGGCTAAATCAAATGCAACACTGAGACCTTGTTGACCAGCTTTGATGTTGTCACGATAAAACTTGTTGCTTTCTTCAACAGTACTGAATCCTGCATACTGTTAAAAATAATGTGTAAATCCATTAATTGCATACATGTCAGCATGTACTGTTGACTTCATTGTGCACTAACTACAATGTAATTCACATTGTTTTATAAAAGATGAAATTATTACCACATGACTGCATACAAATCCTTCTAAATTCGACTTAGTTCTTAACGTTATGAACAAGGGCAAAACTAGAAGGATTTGTATGGAGTCATCAAAGCACAACTGGGCTAGTTTAAATGCTAGTTTTTGGTACATGTAACTAGGCCTTTTGGATGTTGTTCTTTCAGAATATCACAACAAATCCCATAATTTCACAAATTTAATTTCTATGATGTCATCACTTTAGAACCCTTTTGCAGACAGTGTTCCACCAGAGTAGGGAAGCCAGTTTTGGTTCTATCATAGGACATTTGAGAAAATGGAATTCTACACTTGTTTTGCCGCATGCAATAAAAATTAAGTTACAGAAATGAATACCAAAAGTACCATAAATTAAGTACAATGACTTGAGCAAAGCTACACTGGTACACTGTAATGCTGGGTTAGCAGGATTGCTTTATCTTCTTCTTTGTGAGTTCTGTGACAATGGGTCTCATGGTTTTCAAAAACGGCTGCAATTTTATAATTTAACTCACCTGTCTAATGGTCCAGGGTCGGTTGGTATACATAGTTGGGTAGGGACCCCGTGTAAAGGGAAACTTTCCAGGAATCTCCTCTTCTTCATGCTGAGTGTCAGTCCTGGTGTAAACAGGCTTGATGTCAATGCCCTGAAAGATAACAGAGAATACTAATCATAATAATAATAATTATATTTTATTATTGTATATTCAAGAGAAGATAAAAATGTCTAAGAGTCAAATTTTTTTTCTTGATAATTATTTCTCTTATTCTTGTGATTTTTATGTTTGATTAATATGAAGTGACTTTTAAATCCCCATGGATTTAAAAAATACCAGAACAACGTGTTATGTCTTCTGAGAAACAACAAAGGTAACCTTCAAGTGCCACAAATAACAGCCATGGCCTTGAGCACACCAGGTGGAGTGGGGAAAACTGTGATTGCCTGCTCTGCATTTGAAAGATAATGATCTGATGATGTACAAGATTTCATGTTATAAGCTTCTTTACCTCTGGTGTGTGCCATGTCAGTTTCTTCGCAGGATCAGCACCTTTCAGTTGTTTCTTTGCCAATTCATTCCATTCTGGATGCAGTGGTTCTCGGTGAAGAAAGCGCTGTGCTGCTACCTAGAGGTGACATCACATATACAACACTCTTAATAATCAAAGCTGTCATTAGTAGCTGAGAGCCAGCTGTTTTAGCTGGCTGCTGCAATAAAATCAGCAGGTAACTCTAACGTAAAAATTCAGACAAACATAACAAAATAATATAGGATAATTTTTCGGATAAAGGACCATTTACTTTCCCTGAGAGACCAGCCACTTAAAAACTTAATGACAGCCCAGAATTTTTACAATTGTAAGTCAGCAACTAAATTGTTGTTAATAATTTCAAGGCCAAACATGGTGATTATGTTTACAATAAAGTTAACACTCCTTACATTTGTGGATTATTTGCATTTCTTTATTGGATGAAATTCAACAGCAACATGTTGACTTTCTGATATTGTGAGTAAAACACAAAATGGTTTAAAGTTGAGATGGGGTGCGTACCACACCTACCCCACCATAACATGGCTTAATAAAAAAGGTGCAATGTATGATTACCAGAAATTATTTATACTACAAAACACTGGTTTTCGCGTAGTGACGGAGTCAGAGTTGGAGTGGTAAACAGAGTCATAAGAGGGCTTATGACTCAGTGAAAATCAAAAATCCTAGTCATAAGCAGAGTCATAAGCATGACGGAATTGGAGTCGGAAGAACCAGAATGTTTCCATTTTCTTCTGACTCCGCTTATAACTCTGTTGCTTACGATTTAGTGAAAACCAGATCATTGGAGTCGGAAGCAGAAGCAGAAGGATAAACCAATCACAATGCACATTCCCACGCTATGTGACTGGGAGTTTAGCCCGGGGGCACTTGGGTATTTTTTGGGTGGGTATGTGCCGCCGGGACTCCAAATTGGCACCCCATAAAAAAAAAAAAAACCTAAAATTGAATCGCCCTAAAACACCCCGTTCTAGAAATGGGCCAATTTTTATACTCCGTTCTAATTACAACAGTTTGCTTGTTAATGCATTGAACAGTATTTTTAAAAGCAATGTGTCCTTGAATAATTTCAAATGTACAAAAGTGGACTGGGAAAAGTTCTAAATTCAAAGTTTTCTTACCCCCTAGGGAGTTTAGTTCTTCCCCTTGTGACTTGCCTTGTGATTCTCAACATCTAGTTCATAAATGACAGAGTTGTAAGCAGAATCAGAATGCTGTTTTCACTAGATCATAAAGTTTTATGCTTCTCATTACAACTCCGACTCCGACTTGGTCTCTACTGAAAACCAGCCTTAAAACCCTTAACCAACTGCACCTTACGCCACATAGTTGAGAACACAACGGAACAGTTAAGTTTCAACTCTGTTTTTGTAATTATGTAATTTGTTTACCAACGGAGCATTTAGGAGTTCTTAAGAACTTGTTGGAATGTGTCCGTGCATTACAGATCGAATTGGAATTTGGAAGTGTTGGTTTTTAAGGAGAAGGAAAAACCAGAGTATGTGGAGAAAAACCTCTCAGAGCAAGGGAGAGAACCAACAACAAACTCAACCCACATATGGCGTCGATGCCAGGATTCCAACCCGGGCCACATTGGTGGGAGGCGAGTGCTCTCACCACTGCGCCATCCTTGCTCCATATATGAGAAGTTTTCCCATTTTTTAACCAAATTCTTATATAATAATAAATATTCCAGGATGCAAGAAGTCTTTAAATCGGTTTTTAGAGGGCGAAGAGAGAAAGGCTTGTTCAAGCTATGTTTACATCAATACTGTGAAGATAGTAAACACAAGCAAGCTTTGAATAACAGACAAACAGCTGAGGAAAAATTAGCTGAAAATTACAAGGCATGTGAACGGTCACGTCTCGGATAACCAGATTTTTTCTCGAGAAAAATTGTTATGGTAGTTTACCTGGTATGCAGCGGATAGCGGACTGAAAAGGAGTTTGCTCTTCAACCCGGCACAAGTTAACATATCAGAAATTATAAACGAGAAAAATGCAATACTTCCAAACTCCAACTTTTGTTGCCCTTCTGCAAAAGTGACCTTTACATGATGTACGTGAAGAGTGAGGGTAGGTACTGCTGATCACTAGTCACTCTGTGTGCCTTTGCTGTAACGCAATGTTACTCAGTCACGTAGTCACGCAGCACGGTTCCCAGCACGAGAATTTAGAACGTATTTCAGGGGCACCCAACGGCAATTTTCGAGAAAATATCTGTTCGGAAGACGATTTGAGAACTAGAATTTTCGGAACATTTGTTGTAAAATTTATTGCTTGCCTGCCTCTCCTAGGATTTTCGAGCATCTACAAAATGGTATAATTACCCATTTTAAACGGATATTTACCCTAAAAAAGGCCACCTAGAATTTTCGGGAGCCTTTTCCTGGCTGAAATTTTCGAGAAGGTAAGTTTTGATCCCTATGATTTTCGGATCACTAGACTTTCAGCTAGGAAATCCGAACAGATGAAAAGTTTTTAGGGGATAAAAATATGCCTATATATGACGTTTAAATACTAAAATACGTTCAACAATGCTATGTTAAGTGGTTTTGAACTATATCCTCGTTGGGTGCCCCTGGTATTTTTGGCGGGGAACAAGAGTGCGGGATAAAGAACGTGTTTCTTCATTAAACAGCGCGGGTAGGCAGGGGCCGATTACTAATAGTTAAAATTAAACTAATCAAAATTAGTTTTTAGAGCTCCGGTCCTGCCATCGGCCAACTCGCTATATCATGAGCGCGTCGGACGAGCGGTCGCATCTACCAGCTCGTAGTGTTGCATAGTGTAGCAAGTGTTTCTGCTGGTACGATCATCCCAATTTATTAAAGGAGGAGACCGAATTGTAACCTCCAACACCGCAAACTCTAACAACCCCTGCACAGTTGAAACATGAAATAAATTGTAGAGCGCAATTCATGAAAGAGATTTCTTCTTTGAACAGTCTAGCGCTCAAAAAGTAAACGTTGGGTGTCAGTAAAACGCGGGGTCAAGGTCGGGGTCTATCTTTTTTTAAAAGAATGCTGTTTTACGGTTAGGGTTAGGGTTAGTGTCAACCTAACCTGCGATCAGGCGTTTCCTTTTCAAGAGCGGACGAGGCGAGAGGGCCGCCGCTGAAAAAAATAACCCTATTCTGTTGCTGTGAAAGGGATAATGGAGAGAGGGCGTGCTCTCACGCTAGTGTCAACCCTAACCCTAACCGTAAAACAGCATTTTCTTTTTCTTGTAGATCCCGACGCCGGCCTCGGCCCCGACCCCGACCCAGACCCCGCGTTTTACTGACACCCTTTTAACAGTGTTGGACTTAAAGGGGCTACGCCAAGCTATTTGCAACTCATTGGATGTGCCTTAGTAAATTGTTCTTGTTAATGTTGTCTCCTTTCCGCCGCCGAACATATGAATGCTGCTTGCTCCACTGTTTCCCGCTCTAC